CTGCTAAGGCGGGCAGCGGCATGTGTGAGAAGGGGACGGTCTGTTTTTAATACAGGCTAGTCCCTCCAGGCTGGAGAATGGCCAAACAGAATCAGATATCCCAGTTCAGTGTCCAGGTCACACCAAAGACAGCATGAGAGAAAAATCAGCTCAAGGACGAAAGAGCAAGAACTTTCAGCCTCAGCAGGAGCAAGGTTGCTGCACCTGCAGGCATGCCTGGTGGAGGAGACACACACCCTGGCCCCAGCTCCCTGCCAGTCAGAGGCAGGAAGAAAGTGCCTGGCTCCATGTCCCTATGGTTGACCAGGCTGTGCGTGGCATTTCTACCCCTCCATCTACCCAGCCCTCGGGCCTTCCCACTGGCGTACCGCACCTGAGGCCCATGGCACAGGTGGCATCTCTCTTGCTTTTCTCCTCTTGCAGCTGCCGCAAAGCAAAACTTCTTGCACCACTCCAGCCCCTACAGGCGTCCTCTGCTAATTGGACCTGTGTCAGATATAAAAACCTATTTCCCCACTTTGTACCTCTGCTGTCTGGCTGACCCCGGGAGTGGGAGTCTGGAGCCACAGTGGCCTCAAGCCCACTCCCAAGACCTGCCTGACTTTCCCCCTTTCCCACCCTCTGGTCAAGAGAAAGGGAAGGAAAAGAAAAACTCAGAAACCCAAAGATTGTTTGGAATTTATTCTCTTAAATAAGAGTGCAACACATGATTAAAAACAAAATGAAAAGCATGACACCTTGGTTTCACAGTACACAGAAAAAACAGAGTTACACAATCAAATAAAAGCTCACAAAGAAACACACCAAGAACTCACAACAGCACAGGTTAAAAACAAGGGCAAAAATAAAGGCTGAGGGAAAGTGGGCAGCAGACAGGCAGCGTGTTCCTTGGCACATTGAATCCTCTCCTGCCGGGCTCTTGTACCACCGCTGGGAAGCCGGCTGGCTGCCCACCCCTCCCACCTGCACCCCCAACTGAATGGCTCAGGAGAAAAGTAAACCCCTTAGTGCCCTGCTCAGGACTTGAAGGCTATGGTGGAACCCCTTTTGGGACAGCCTAAGAATGTTCCAGTGTCCTGCAGAAAAGAGCCGAAGATGCACTCACCACCAGAAGACAGGAGTGAGCTCACACAGCTATGTCAGGGGAGCCAGAGTGCAAGCCAGACACAAGACAGGTGAGGTGGGTGCCCGGCTGTCCGTGGTGCCCTGCCAGCAGCAGCCCCCTGCTTTCCACGTTTGCTCTTAAGGCTATTTCTTGGGGGTGTGTGCTGCTCGTTTTCTGAGACCCCCACCCACTCATTTCCCTACAGGCGTGCTGCTCCTAGCCTGCTGTGCGCCCTCACAGCCCTGACTGGGGCACAGCTCCCCAGCATGAGGCTCCTGTGGTTCTCAGAACCAGGAACAAGAAGCTTTAGAAACAGCTTCACAATTATTATTACTATAATTTAGGGTGCAATATATAAATATCTACCCGTCTATGTGCAATTAGATCTATGTACATATAAATGTGTACCTATATATAAACATTCTCCAACCACCGTCCACTATGGCTCTTGGGGTAAGGTGGGAGGTAAGCTGGACTGCAGAATTCTCTTGCTCTACTAAAAGGTTTTCCACAAATGCCTGGAAGGGAAGAGGACTCTGGAAGCAGCAGGACTTCCTAACTTCCCTGTCAGGTGGGAACTCCAGGGTTGAATGACATGATACTGCCTGGCTACCCTTCTAGCTGGTGTGGCAAAGACCTGCACTTCCTAATGGGCCATTCAGGAACTATGAAACCTCATGGTTATCAGACAAGGAGTGACTGGGGACAGGGGGCAGGCAACTGCCACTTGTGACTTCAGATCATCGCCTCCGTAAGAGGACAGGAAGCTAGCGTGTTTCTCCCCTCCCATCTCTGTGGCCCGCCCTGCCAATGAACCAGGTGATGACACTCCTGGGAAAAAGCTCTTCTGTTCCCTTCTGGCTATGCCTTCGGCCTCCCTGCTTCACTTCTGGTCCTCTACCGTATCAGATAAACAGAGGATTCCTCTGGACAAAAACAAATTCAAGAAGCCTGCAGCTGAACTTCTCCTGTCCAGGGGAAAGTAATCCCATCTGGGGTTTTCCTTTCTCTGCCTATTGTTGTTCAAGCTTTTTCTAGTCATGGTGGGTAGTACGAGGCCAGGGTGAGAAAATCTGTGCCAGGACCACTAATATGTAGTCTTAAGTATAAGCTTGGAAACAGAACATTTACAGATTTAAGAACAAAGAAGAGCATTTCTGTATTAAAAGCACATTACCAACAAAAATACTGTAAACGATGCCCCCAAACACTAAATTAGGCAGCAGGCACAGACTTGGTTACCAGAGAAAGGTGACACTTTACAGCAGACCTAGAGTGGGTCCTTTGAACTGCGGGTTGTAATTGGGTACGGGTGTGGTTTTGTTTTTGTTTTGGCAACAGCAAGAATCTTGGCACAAGGAAGAAAAGAACGTAAGGGAGCGGAGAGAAATGCCACAAATAAAGGAGGTGCAGAGTGCAAGCACTGCCGGTGAAACACTGCCCCGTCACAGCCCTACCAGCGCTGCCTCCTGGGGAAGTCGGGCTCGGGAGGAAGGCTGAGTCGCACACAGGAGTCAAGCGCCTCCATCATCGCCTCTTCTGGTCGAGCGACAGCGGAGGCGGCTACCATGGGCCTGAGCTAATGACTGCTTTCTACAACATTCATTCTGGGACCCTGCAACACCTGAGCTTTTCTGAAGCTTTTCAAAAGGTTTTCACAAGGAAATCTAGTGAAGTCATCAAAGCTTCAGTTTCATACTGAAAGAACGAAATGTCTATCAAAGGAGGTATCTATTTCATGCCAACCATAAAACACCACCCATCATCCTGTTCCCTTTCTACCGAGGCTGGCAGCAGAGTGAGCTCACAGGGAGGCAAGGTGCCTGAAGCATGCTCTAGATGCTGAGCTGCCGCAGGCTAAGGCCCTCAGCCCTGAGCTCGCTGGCCTCTGCCACCCAAGCTGGGGGACAGTGCCTGTCATTCACCGAAAGCGTCCACACTGTGACTCCTTTGGGACAACACATTTTGAACTCCTGTGCTATACCAAGCAAGTCACCGCCTGCTCAGAATCCAGACCCACCGGGACAGAGACGTCCTCAGGGCTGACTCTTTCACCACACCGCCGACTCTCCTCTCTTATTCTCTCCCCTCACTGTGTAGAACACTCTTCTTTTTCTCTATGGAACGCTTAATTCTTTAGAACTCCTAAAAACCTGAAACTCATTATACTTTCAATTAGATGGCAAGAATGGCAACCTGAACCAGATGGGAAAGTTGGCAAACCTGGCCTGAGGATAACCTAAACTTTCTTATGCTTATTTCTTTTTAAAGAATGTTCTGTACTCCAAACCCGAATGCAGTTTAATTTCCTTGAGATGTTCTATTTGGTAGCTGGGTTCCTCAGAAAATCCACCTCTGCTGGAATAGGGCCCAGACTGACAAGGTGGCGCTCTCCCCAACCCAATGCGCTTCCTGTAGCATAAGGCCAGACCCCTGGGGTTATTTTTCAATGCCAGTGATTCTGTCCACACTCCGAGTGTCAGCTGCAAAGGGCTCTTGGTACTTCATGAGAAAGATGGATTGTAAAGATCTTCAAGGTTGTAGAAGGTTTAAGTCACTAGTGGTTGAAACTTGGCTATAAAATGTTGGTCCCACCTGCAGGGCACTTAAAAACCTTGCTCAGATGATGCTAAGGGCACGTGCAGTAGCAGGAGCGGAGTTCACCTTGCTGGCCTGGGGCTGGCTGGGTCTCAGCCTCCAGCTCTCTGCTCCCAGGGTGCGCCGCCCAGCCTCTGGACACATTTTCCCTCTCTCAGGATGAGCACCACAAGGCCTGCATGAACCAGCGCTCAAGGAAGGGAAAGGATGCAACCCTGGGAACCTCTCACTGAAGGCCAAATGGGTAATTCCCGTGTCCCACCATGGAAACTCTATTACCAACTCCTTCTCCGTGGTTTCTGGCATTGGCTAACCATCTTCAATTTTTCTGAGTTTTGAACACAGCTGCTTGAGACACATGTGTTTTGAACAAGAGTTAAGTGTGACAGGCAGAAACACGGCCCTGCTGACCCTTCACCACAGTGACCCTGCGCCGTGAACCACCTGGAACTGCATGTGAGGCATCTGGAACACCTGGCAGTTTGTGGAGCCGTGGATGCATCTCACAGGCAAGTTTTACACGGCGCTGAGAGGGGCCACTTTAAGGAAAAAAACCTATATAATTCTTCCCAACAGGCCTTGTACCCACAAACCCTGCAAGTCCCGCCATGCTATGAGCAGAATAAACGTGTTTTTAGAGGTAGGGATGGTGGTGTTCACTTCCCAACCCCAGGAGTGGTCGTCAAAGTGGGACAGATTAGCGCTGGGGCCTCACGAGAAGCCCAGTGGCCAAGGGGTCAGGGCAGGGCATGCCCCATCGCGGTGCAGGGCAGACGGGAGAGCGGCGACAGGGAACTGGACGCAGACTCTTAAACGCAGGGAAATGCAAAGCCAGACCCCAGGGCTTAATCAACACAGCTCCATGCTGTCAGAGGAGCCTGAAGACAAGTGCATGAAGGCCCTGGCCTCACGAGGGGCAGTGACAGGAGCGCCTGTCTCAGTGCCTGCGAGCTCCTGTCTACCTACATGGGCTCTGGGCTGCCCTGATGTGATGGTGCAGGACGGGGCTAGGGATGGCGCCTCACAGCTCTGCCGCCCAACACACGGTCCCCTCACTGGGCCACAGCCTGCCAGCGGAACTCCCCTCTGATTTGCACCAGCACCTCCGACAGCCCATAAAGAAAGGGGACCCCGAACGCAAGCAGCTGGCACATGAAAAAGGAGTCCAGCGGGTTCTGGGCCACTTGATGCCCGATTGAAGAAATGTTGCTTTGGAGGTGCTGGCTCATGCCCTTGGCCTTGTCACAGAGGCCGAGGGAGTGACGCGCCACCCAGCCAAACAAGGAAGTGAGGCTACCTGGGGTTCTCTCAGTCGAGCTGGCCACCGCGCTGGCCCGTCCGGTTGCGTCTGTGGTGAGGCCATCCTGCAGGGGTCCTTTGGCCTCCTATGAAAGTCCATGAGAAAATGAAGAGTGACTCTGACTGAAGCAACCAAATCCCCAGAAGCGACAATCTGGCAGGCTGGTTTTACATTTAATTTTTTTTAAGAGGTAGGGTCTTGCTGTCGCCCAGGCTGGAGTGCAGTGGCGCCATCACAGCGCACTGCAGCCCGCCCTCCTGGGCTCAAGCGGTCCTCCCACCTCAGCCTCCCGAGTCACCGGCAGTCAAGGCCTGGACCCACCTAGCTGCACCTCTTCCTGCAAGTCCCTCTGCAGGCAACAGAAGCCCCTCAAGGGGGACTGACAGGCAGCCATGCTGAAGACACTGCTGGGTTCACCTTGGCAAAGCCGGGTAGAGAAGCCACCCTCATTTAAAAGAGCATAAGAAAGGAAAAAGTTCTCAGACAAGTAACTCAGAGCATGAGTTAACTGAAGGCCCTGCAGGCAGGGCACTCTGTGGGTGTGGGGAGTGAGGGTGGCGCTACCGAGGAGCAGAGGGATCCTCCTGACAGTTTCCTCTCCCACCCCGCCTTTCTGGAGGAGGGCTCTCATCATGTGGAACATGAGTAGGCATCACCCCACTGGCACAGTGTCATTCTCTCAGAAACCCGCATGTGCTGTTGACAAAGGTGAATGTCTGCGCAGCTGAGACGGACGGCGGCATCACCTCCTGGGCCCGACTCAGGTGGCAAGTGGGGCCTTACTTTAGTGAGGCAACCTCAGATCACCCATGAAAAGATGGTCCCCTCCCCACCCGGGACTGCAACAGCATCTTGGGCCCTCCCCGCTCCCAAGAGAGGCAAGGCCGCAGGGCATTTGCAGGCTGGCCACTGTGGGCCCACAGCCACAGCGCTGCAACACCCACTGCTTCTCCCCCACTTACAGGATGGTCACCATTACCTGTCCAGACAGGGGAGCCACCGCTGGTCTCTTCCTCTGTGCGTAGCCAGAAAGCCGATAGCAGTAGTGTGGCTTACAGTAGAATTTACCTGTGAACAGCAAGAGGCAGGGACACAAGCGATGAGCCAGGCCCTGATCCCGAGCACGCCTCCCCGGTCTCAGCCATTCCGTTTCATCTCCTTCAGCCTCAGGAGGCCGTCAACCCACCCAGCCTTCCCTGGGCCCAGGTTTCTTGTCCAGAGAAGCCAGCGCCTCCCGGCAAACTCTGATTCCAGCCCTCCTCTCCCCTGGCCTGTGGGGGGTCTTTTCCTTTGGGAATGTGAAGGCCATTGAGCCATCACCCAATCAGTGCCCAGAGCCAAGATGTGAGGCCTGTGTGGCAGGGCCAGCAAACAAAGTGGCAGTGTGTGAGGAACAAAGACGTGGTCACATGAAACGCTGCGAGCAGCATTGCTGGGGAAACCAAGAATGAATACAAGTGTGGGGTGGAGGCGTGGGGGCTGCGGGATGGGCCATCGCTGGGCACTGGCTCTGACAGGCCTACTTCTGCTGCTCCCCCTCCCGCACCCTACCCCTCACCGCTCCTCCACTAGCCGGCGCTGGGCCAACGGCAGGCTGTGACCCCCCTCAGAGGGTCAGGAACAGCAGGAAAGGACATTACAAAACCAAAAATTCTGCAGTGGACTATGAGTAGGATGGAACAGAGCGGAACAGAAGAGAACAGAACAAAAGCCAGAGTGCACTGTGGCATGATGAGAATAAAACAGGATTTCTTGGAACTTTCAGCTGTGTCTGGGTCTTAATGTAACATGTATTCCCCACTGGGGGTGTGGTCAGAACCATCTGAACAACACTGAGCTTGGCTTTTCCCATGACTCTGGTACTGGAATCAACTTCGGAGTCATTTTTTCTGACTCCTCTTACGCTCACTTAAAGAGGTAAGACTTCTGAATCTCAAGTGATAGACCCTACTATAGAAACTGTTGAAACAGAAGTCATCCCATTTCATTTTCCTCATTTGTAGAGTGCGCTTCTTAGACAAACGAGCTTTCCTGATCTCAAACCTACAGTAAGAGGACCTAGGAGTCAAAGCAAACGAAGGTAAGACGGCATTCTTCCCTTTCCCTGATGATCTGATTATACCCTTCTTCTTTTCCTTCAGAGAACTGCCTTTAGTTTTACCTGCACTCCCCATTCAATGCTGAGTAACTCTATTACGACACAGCTTTTATATGGTTTTCATAATGCCTAGTATATGTTCTTACATAGAATGTGCCACTGGCTGCTGCCGCTTGGCCAGGATGCAGAGACGCTACAGTGGGCACACATGACGGCCCGTCTCACGCTCGCTTCTCTGGCAGGGGAGTGCAGCCATGGGATGCTGCTTGTGGCTTCACAGCTGCTTTTCCCCATGTGAATAAGCCACTCAGCTTTTGTAAGCTTTGGACCCCAACAGTTGGGGTGAGAGAAAACGTCTGAGTGCTTGGATCACGCGCTACTTGCTTTGGTCTGTTCTGTATCTCATTCTTTAAGAAACACCCCGCCCTTCTCCATGTGGCTCCGACAGAGACTGGCAACCAAGTGGCCTGAGCTTCCACCACCAGTAACGCATGACCCAGGCCACTGGGCACCCACTCCCTCCACCCCGCCCAGGACAGGGTGCTCTGTGGACTGGCATATGGCTAAAGGCAGGCTCGCTGGATGGCGAGGGAGAGGGAAGGGGCAGCCCTTCCCTGCGGACGGCTATCTGGATGGAAGCTGTGAAGCGAAGCTTCAGCTGTAATCTGCGTAGTGATTCTATCACTTGTCACCAAGAGCTTTATGACAGTATCTGAAAACTAAAATGTTATCATGGCTTTCATTTTTTTCTTCTACTTTTTTCTACGTGAATTTGCTTGTTTCTGCAAGATCTTAAACTATAACTCAATTGAACTCAACTGAATCCTCCTTGAACCCTGCTCTGGTATCCTAAACTAATAAAGAAAAGAGGTTTACATTTCAAAAACAAGTTTTCCAAGCCTAACAAAAAAGTTCCAGTGAACTGTTTTCTCTAGGAAGGCAGTACAGGTGATACGAGGAATATGAGTGCTAACGAAGTGTGACCTTAGTTCCTGAGATCAGCTACGTGCTGTCTCAACTGCTGAGCAGCCGTCTGAACCTGCCAGTCTTTTGGAAGATGGCTCCTCCCATGGAGGTGAACACAGCACCCGTCTCGTAGGTAGAGATACTCAATGAGATGGCACAAGTCATGTGTACGCATCTCCCTATATCCCTTCCCAAACTCAACAGTCCCCAAATGAGCATGTGAGGCAGGTGCCATCAGTACCCACCTCTTTTGCAGTGAGGCACAGAAGGCCGAGGGACCTGCCCAGCGCATCCCACAGTCAGTGAACCGCAGAGGCGGATGCAGCCCAGGACGCTGGCACCAGAACCTGCACTGCCACGACACTGCCATGCTCGCCTCAGTGGCAAACCCAGCTATGCTATGTTAATTTTTAAAAATTAGCTATGACTTGCGGGTGATTCAGTCAAGTGACAGATTCTCAATGGTCCCCTTAAGGAATCCTGATAATTGAATATAAGTGTGACTGGAAAAGGGAAATGGAGAAAACAGATGGCCACAGGGGAAACTGAAGGTCAAACAGGCCGCTTGTTCGTTCATTCATTCATTCATTCACCCCAGGCCTGAGTGCCACTGTATGACAGCTACTGATCTGAGCACTGACAGCCCCCAAGGCAGGCAGACAGGTTCTCCAGAGACGCATGGGTAAAATGAGACAGCAAGAGCCCTGCACACAGAACCACATGGGCACAGCAGTGCCTGGACAGCTGCCCTCTATCAAAAGGGCCAGACCCCTCTCTGAGGAGCGCTGCATGGAGATGGTGGCCACAGGCAGCTCACTCTGTGGAGACCAGGGGGTACACTCCAGGAGAGGACACAGCAGAGCCACGTCCTAAGGGAGCGGTGGCTTCATCACGCGTATGGGATGGAATGACGCTGGAGGGAAGCGCACAGCACACTGGGGGCAGCTGACAGCAGAGGCTGGGGTGGATGCACAATGCCCTCCCCGCCCGGGACAAGGCTGTGTGCTCTCTGCATGGCAGTGGCTAGGACACTGGTAAGATCCAAGTCACACCTTTTAAAATCCCTCTGGTTGCCCTGTGGAAACACACTGGGGTGTAACACAGGCAGCGAGGCCAGCGGTCCAGGCAGAAGGTGTGTGGCTGGCTTAGGGGCTGCTGCAGGGATGGAGACCACCTCAGGCTCGTGACTGACGAGGACCATCCTGCACACACCACCTGTGCAGGTAGTGTGAGTCTCTTCTTAAGATGACAAGGAAGGGCTGACACTGTCTAATGTAGGGTGCTCGCCTTAAAGCTGGCAGCGATCACAAATGAGCTAGTGCTTTGCAAAAAAGGAAAGAGCAGCTCTGTGTTTGAGCACACGGAATCCTCTAGAAAGAGCTGAAGGCAGAACAGACAGCACCACAAGTAAAACACAAAGACATCTTCAAATATGATTCTCAATTTTCTAGTGTGGAGTCAGCAGCAGGCCTGAAGTCACTGACCCGCATCTCTGACCTGGAATGAACTTCAGGTGTCATTTGGTGCAAGCTGGCTATTACTAGTTGTGTCAATTTGGACAAACAACATGTAAGTTCTCTGAACTCGGCTTCCTGACTTCCAATTACGGCAATAAAGAGCTACCTCTTTTTTTAAAAGGTGGAGTTAAAAAAAAAAAAAAAAAAGAAAAAGAAAAAGAGCTCCCTAACAGGCTGTGGTTGGGACAAAGGGTGTGACACGGGCCCAGCACAGGCCTGAGTTACTTTCTCATGCACAACCCCATGGCTTATTCCTTGTTTTCTGGGGCTCTTCAGTCAGATCTGAGCCACCTGGCAACCCGGATAAGGAACAGGCCCCCAAATTTCCTTCCTGCCTCTAGTCCACCTGTCCTCTGACAGATGAGGGGGAGGTCTGTGGAGGGGACTAACCTGATGAAAACTTTTTCTGGGTTAAAATCTGGGGAGCTGGTTTAGCACGGCCGTTTCTCTGCTCCAGTGTTGAAATACGGCACCCAAGCAGGGCCTCATCCTGCCCCGGCCTCATGGTCACTGCCATCCGAGCTCCTACTCGTTCCTCTGCCCTCTATTCAGCCACCATACCCTTCTCTCTCCAAGTCTAGCTGAGGGTCGGGGAGGTCATTCCAAGCTGCTCTTGAACTTCATGGATTTCCTCCTCCCCTGCGCCTCTACGAAGCGACAGCCTAGGCTGTGTGGCCGGGTCTTTCACTGCACACACTCGTGCTGCCTGCTACCTTTATGGTCTCATCCCCACAGGACAGGGAGCTCCTGGAGGCACCCACTGTCCTTCCGCATCCTCCACAGAATGCAGCAAAGATGCACACCCATCCAGGGGCAAAAGGACCCCTAGATCAATCAGCTGCACCTTGAGGCATCTTCTTTCGGGGAAGACCCCATAGTGAGAGACTAACTAGACTACCCTGAGCACCAGGGGCAGCGGAGCGAGGCTGGGTGGGCTCCCTCTGCCAGGCCCCATCCTTGAGATCAAAGGTGCTAACCAGAGAGCAGGTGTATGGGAGAAGCAAAGCAGAAGACCTGACAGCTAGCCATCCGCCTGCCTTATCTCTACAGCATCCTAATTCTTCTGTTCCTCCCCACTCAGCAGTGCTTTTTACCCAGGCACCGTGACAGGAGCCAGCCTTTCTCAGCTCACCTCTCTGGGCTCCTTGTGACAAGAGGTGCCTGTTCGTGCACTCTCAGGACGGCCAAAGTGACTAGGTCCTAATGGCATGGCATCCCTCTCCTATACGACGTCACTTTATAATCTCATAGACAAGCCATTTCTATCAATGTCAGGGACTTTATGTCACCTTATAAAGATTACTGCCTCTCAGCCGGGTGCAGTGGCTCACGCCTGTAATCCTAGCACTTTGAGAGGCTGAGGAGTTCGAGACCAGGCTGGCCAACATGGTGAAACCCCATCTCTACCAAAAATACAAAAATTAGCTGGGCATCGTGGTGGACGCCTATAATCCCAGCTACTCGGGAGGGTGAGGCAGGAGAATCACTTGAACCTGGGAGGTGGAGGTTACAGTGAGCCAAGATCGTGCCAGTGCACTCCAGCCTGGGTGACAAGAGTGAAACTCTGTCTCTCAAAAAAAAAAAAAAAGATTACTGCCTCTCCGATTACTCTAGGCCCCTCATTACTCTGGAATCTGTAAGAGTACCTCCTATGAAGCCCCTCCAGCACCCTACAGGAATAGGAATATGATGGGGATCATCAATCCAGGGTTGCCAGATGGCAGCCAGCCTGCCTCTGCCCATCGTGATGGCTCTATCATCGTGTCCATAATTCTCTACTGTTTATCTTACCAAGGTCTTTTCACTGTAAAAACCAGCACATGCTGCAAAAGACCAGGCCTTGAACGCCACAGTAAATTAGACTCAGGCCCTACACAACGGTTCTCGATTCACCAGACGGAGATTAGACAGAGCCACGGAGGTGTTAACACGGGGCACCTTGCAGTCACCTCCAAGAGCAAAAGTCTGAGAACCCGGGGCCTGGGACCCAGCTGCAACTTGTCGTCATCATCCACCTTAGGCAAAAAATGTGAAGATAAAAACCTTATCTTTGTTGCTTTTATCTCAAGTTCCCACCCTGAGGTCAGAAAGCAAGTAAGTGCCCCTGAGATGAGGGATCTGACTGAGGTAAATGTCCGCCATCCTCACCAGCCTGGTGACGCTGGGAAATACAAGCGCCTCAGAGGAAGAGCGACGGAGGGCGAGGGGCGTGGTGGAAAAGACACGTGGAAGAAGGCAGGAAGGGGCCCGAAGGCCCGCAGCTCAGAGGGAGACCGTGGGGCCGGGGGCACGAGGCGTCTCACCGTCCTCGATGTCGTAGGCGTAGGCTGAGAGGCGCAGGGTGGTGGCGCAGTACTCGCACTTGAAGCAGCTCCGATGGAAGAACTTGCCCTCGGCACTCAGCCTCTCCATCACGTAGACCCGCTTCTGGCAGAAGTAGCACGTGTCGCTGCCTCCCAGGTTCTGCGGGAACTCCTTCTTCATGGAGCCCTGCGGGAAGCGGTGGGCGGAGGAAGAGGAGCGCCTCAGGGAGTGCCGCGCAGGCCCCTGGAGGCGCACAGCCCTGGGGAGAGCGAAGCCGACGCTGAGGGGTCTGCTCTGAGACACACTACTACCTGTACGGTCACCTGTGCTCTCGTCTCTGCCGCGGAGCGATGGCACCGCCACACTCGATGCCTCCGCGCACTGGCAGACAACACTTAGCGCCCCCGCTAGAGCCCGAGCCAGCCTGCCGCTGACGAGGGGGCCACATCCCAGAGCTTCACACCAGACCTGAGTAATGCTATGACAGCCTGGCAAGGCTGGGAAATACCTCTGAGAAAGTCTTAGAGAAAGAGCAATGGAGAGACAGAGGTGAGAGGAGCTGGGAGGGGCACGATGGAAAAGACACACATGGAAGGAGGCAGGAAGGGGCCTGTGGGTCCCCAGCTCAAACGGAAACACCGGCAGAGTTCTGTTTCGAGGATAACTGTATCGGGATCTGTTCAGTGTCGGCGTAGTTCTACATGAATATTTGAGGGTCCCCCAGACTCTAGAGTGACCAGTTTTTCACACAACTATCGCAGTCTTAGAAAGTTGGTTATCAAAATCCAGACAACCTCAAAAGCAATCACTGCATGGCATATACGGGCTGCACAAGTTATAAGCGACTCAAGCACGCAGGTGTGTCTCATGGCTGTGCTGGGTCCAGCCAGACAGCGCCTGGAGGCGTCTCTTACCAGTTCCTTCTTGTCTAGAAGGGCTTTGGGCCGCTCTTTCCTTTGAAGCTGATTGGCTATCTGCTCAGCCAATGAGCTCACTCCGCCCGTGTACATCTTTATGTACTTCTATCGGTTGAAGATTACAAAATGACATAAATGAAGGGACATGAGAAGGAAAAAAAAATACATAAATTAAGAAGACACGGGAAAAAAAGAAATCTTTGAGAAGTGCAATTTGAATACAAGGTGAAGCAGCAAACCATGCCAACACAGTGCTCACAAGCAGGGAAACCGGTGGTAAGAAAAACACGGCGTCAGTGTCCACACAGGGGTACCAGCACAGGCAGGACAGCTGCAAGGAAAGCGTCTTTCTTAGCGAGAACTTGTTCTCCCCCATCTCTGTGGAATGCACAGTTCCAGGGAAGGGTGGCAGAGGCAGGGGGATGTGCACAGAGAAGGGCAGGCAGGACCCGGTCCTGCTAAGCCTGGCTATGTTCACAGAGCTCAAGGGTTGCTCCCATGTACGCGGCGGTGCCCAGGCTGACCCCGCCTTCCACGGTCCAGGAGGCCACCTCCTCCATCAGAAGGACCCCACTTGCTCCTGCATGGGTCACCTCTGCGTGGGTAGCGGTCGCCACCAGCTCTTTCTGCTATCTGACACTTGACCCACAATGCCTGCCACAGGCAGCGAACGCTTCCAGGCTGTTTTGGAAGAAGGCTTCTCAGCCCATTCTCCCTGCTGATGTTACTGGGGGTCTGAGGGCAGCACGATGAGGCCCGCGTGGCCCACCCAGGCGCTGAGGCCAAAGCCTTCTAGACTGGGCTGGGCATGCTGGCCACAAGGTCTCGACATGCAGCCAGGCTGCTCCACCAGCCCAGGAAGGTGGGAATGTGTTCTAGGCCAGGAGGAATTATTTTCAAGGTTGAAGAAAGGTAAGAGAAAAAACCCAACCAACTCAAGCCTCTTTCTGGCAACGCTGAAGAAACCACAGGAGAAACTTCCACGTCTCCATCGTGAGCCACCCTGCTCACACCTAAGCTGGGTGCCCAGGCAGCCCCGCCCTGACCTGTCCCAAGAGGGAGTCCTCTAGAGACTCTACAACCCGGTCATCCTTCCACGTGGAGATGGCCATGCCACCATGTGCATGAGGCTCCTCTCATGAACTTCACGCAGTAAGGGGGCTCCTTGCCCTGTGGGGGAACCCGACCCTAATTCTGACTCAGAAACCTATCATCAGCCATTATCCTGGTGATGCCAACAGCCCCCTCAGGACACGGCCTGAACGGAGAGACGCATAAGGTCACGTGTGAGGAAGAATCACAGAAGTGCCGGGCAGGGGGAAGCAGGCGCTCGGGGGCTCACAGGCGCACACGTCAGGAAGCTGTTCCTGTGGCTAAGCTCAAGGCTCAGCCGAACCGAGGAAGCAATTATAGCTTCTAATTCAAAAACAAGATTCCCAAGGATTGGTGCCATTTGCCCACTAACTTCACAGATGAGACCTATCAGTGGTCAAGACAAACGAGTGGCTCTTAGATCTAAACCTTCTTTAGATCAGGAACACTGAAGCAGCTTAGGCTTGGGACAGACAGACACCAGGCAGAGCGGAGCAAGTAACTTAATAGCTGACACTGAGAGAGAATAAAATGGCATTACTCTCATTCTGCAGCAGACACGGGGGAGCGCGGACCAGATGCCAAGTATGAGGCCAGGACACCAAGTCAGCCCTGGGCCCTCACTGCTCAGCCAGGACCCTCCTCTCCCGACCAAAACCATCAACCACAGCAGTTACAGCCCCTGCTGCCTGGACCCTTTTCTCCCAACCAAACCCATGGACCTCAGCAGCTACAGCCCGCGGCTGCCTGGACCCTCCTCTCCCGACGAAACCCATGGACCTCAGCAGTTACAGCCCGCGGCTGCCTGCACAGAAGTATCTGCCACATTCAGTTCCCAGCAAGGAAGCAACACTGACGAGCATCCCCTGCAAGAGAGGTGAAGACTCAGTTCTATTTGTTTCTGGCATGAAAAGCAGATGGTTTCCTTCCCATCACTCTTAACAAATAGAGGAAATGCAGCGTTGCAGGACTGAGCTGCACACCACACGTGTGCATGTGCTGCCATCCACATATGCCTTGCGGTCCAGTGCCAACCCCGGAACCGGAAACGGCAACAGGAGGCGCAAAGCGACCTTCCAGTCTCTCCAGAAACTCCTTCCAGCGGGGGCAGCGCCACTGCAGGTGACAGCGGCGTGCATTCCTCAAACGGTAACAGGCAGCCAGATGCTGCATCGTCACCCCTCCACTGAGGCGATTTAATCACACTATGGTCTCTATTTTGTAACGCGTTATATTGGAAGATATGTGAAGTTAAAAAAGCCAACAGCTGAACAAATGTTTATCATGATCTGATACAGTTGACGTCGGATCAAAGCGGGTTCACGCTGACAGACCTGGGTGTGACAAGCAGTTGGAGGAAAGCCAGCAGACGCTTCAGCTGAGGAGTGTGCCACGCACCTCACACACAAGACCGGCACACGCAGCCAGCAACGCACGCAGCCAGCTGCCTGAGGAGACAGGCCCAAGTGAGGAGCCCCGCCACCTCCTGGGCAACGGCACTGGGAACAGGAGTGAGTGGAGGCTGCAGAGGGCAGAGAGTCAGTGAGTCCTAGGCTCTGCTACCTGTCGGAGGGAGTCGGAGGAGGGAGAGGCAGGGCGGGCGGAGGAGCGGAGACTAAGAGAAAGCTCCCACTGGTCGACAAAAAATCGACGAGGAGGTTCAGGCTCTGGCTAAAAAATACAAGACGGAGAAAAACAAAATCAAAGGAAATGTTATTAAATCACACACTGACCTCTGAACCTAAGATGGCTGGCAGCTGTAGAGCCTTTTACTTTAGACCGTTATCTAAATACCACGTGCTCCCAGAAGCATGAGTGGCCCTGCAAGGCTACCGTTTTGCTTTTATCTGTCCTTCCCGCAGTCTGGCAGCAGAGCACGCCCTGGAACGCGGTCCCGCAGCTGCGGGCTGCCCGGCACAGCGTCGGCCTTCCTGTGTGGGTAAGGTGGCTAGCAGCAGGGGCAGGGGGTTTCCTGCTGACTCACATGCTCTGTGCATCCCCTCGACTGAGCTGGGAATTCTCCAGGGCAAAAAGATTCTGCCACCACCCCATCTTTCCATTGGCCTTATGAGTAGCAGGCAGCGGAGACAGTAAATCTAGAGTGAAGCTTGCTCCTTCTACATCAGGGCCAGGAATGCAGCATCTCTTCTTCCACTGCTAGTGCTCAGGGAGGCTCTGCTTGCCAAGGAGCCAGCTGAATCCCAAGCAAAGATGAGGAGGAAAGACTTGAGCCCAAGTCCTCTGCAGACTGCACGCAGCACGTGTAACAAAACTGGGCAAGGGTCTTGCTCAGCCGTGGGCCCATGCAGCTGGGAACCCAGTCCCCAGAGAGCAAGGCAGTGACTGAAAGCTTCAGCAGCCAGTAACTGCTTAGTCTCCCACCAGGTTCAGAAGAAACCATCTACAGGAGGGATGGGCAGCACCGTGTCACGGTACCAGGAAGCCCTCTCCTCCAGCTCCAGGCCGGATCTGTCACACCCTCGACCTCGGCCACGTGCACGTCATAGTTCTGTGGGGTGGCAACAGGCACTGACAGTTGCCTGGTGCCTCACCAGCCTCTGCTTCAGACGCTCAGCCAGCTCCCTGGCCCTGGTCTCAACAACACAGGCCCCAGAGAAAGCTGGCGAGGATGGCTGTATGCACCACCCGCCGGAAGGAAGCAAGAGGAGGACTCAGTATCCCTCGGGGGTCAGAGGAGTCAGAGCCAAGGGGAGGTGTGGGGGTTGGGTAGAGGTGGGACACAAGGCAGGTGAGTGCTCATGCAGGGTTATGAGGGGTGGCGGCAAAGTCCAAGAAAAGATCGTAGGTAGTGTCCTCAGAAGCATCCAGCCTGGAGCCCTGGACTGAGGAACGCAGAAACCAGCTCACGGGGAAAAAGAGAGACCTCCCTGCAAACCTTACTTCCTCCTGAGCTCAAAACCCTACCTCTTCCCCTCTCTGCAGAGCAGCCCTAGACGTCACATTGTTTCTCACTGCCAATCTCTCCTATTCAACATGCTCCCCTCCTTCTTTTAGACACTATTGCATTAAACATTACCAGCATCTGATTAAATATGCGATCCCCAAAATGGAGGGCTCTGCCCTACACAATGAAAAGGGCGCTTTCCTTTTGGCAGGGACACAGCCTGGGAAGAAGGGAGAAAGAGCAGCCCCAGAAAGGGTGAGCACGGCGGGGCGAGGCCATGGAAAAGACCATGCCCCCACCTCCAGCCCAGTCTCCTCTCCCTGACCCAGCACGAGGTTCAGGCAGCACACACACTGCCTGCAGCTAGCCTGCTGAGAGGGCGGAGGAAGATGGCACTATGATTAGCTCCTACTGGGTCGGAGGAGTAACCTCATTTACTGCGTGGCCATACTGCACTTCTGAGAGAGCAAAGGCAGACGGGGAGTTAAAAACCAAAGTGGCGCCGGGCGCGGTGGCTCAAGCCTGTAATCCCAGCACTCTGGGAGGCCGAGGCCGGTGGATCACGAGGTCGAGAGATCGAGACCATCCTAGTCAACATGGTGAAACCCCGTCTCTACTAAAAATACAAAAAAAATTAGCTGGGCATGGTGGCACGTGCCTGTAATCCCAGCTACTCAGGAGGCTGAGGCAGGAGAATTGCCTGAACCCAGGAGACGGAGGTTGCGGTGAGCCAAGATCGCGCCATTGCACTCCAGCCTGGGTAACAAGAGCGAAACTCCGTCTCAGGAAAAAAAAAAAAAAAAAAAAAAAAAAACCAAAGTGGCTTTTGTGAGGTTACCAACTAGAGACGATTCTTCCCGCTACCTGCAGAGCGATACTCACTCAGAGATCTTTAAGGGTAGGAATAACAAGAACGGAAGTTTCATGAAGTAAACCAGCTTCTTTAACTGGGCATCTTGGCTATAGCTCACTTCATATGACGGCCAGCTGCAATCAGTCATTTCCCCCTCGGTTTTTCAGGAAAGACTAAAGCTTTCCACAGTACAGCCCCATCTTGCTATCACCTGCTTCAGCCCCCTCAAGCCTCATCCTACTGGAAACATCCTCACGCTGGTAAAAGCTTTGGCTCTCTTAGGATTTCCACTTCAGGATCCACGACCACTGAATGCAGCGTGAATGCTGATCTACGCCCTTCCCCTAAGAAGCCGCATCTGACAGTCCAGTGTCACGCACGACTCTACCACTGGCACATATTTTGGAGTGGAAACAGTACGGTCTTGGAAGGGGAAAAGTGGGCAGAAATGGGAAGTCATTAAGGCCCTTTAGAAGCCACACACTTAGGATCAGCATCCCATCTGAATGCCAGGTGGCTGACTGCTTTATAGTGAATGCTATTTGCACTGGTCAACACGGCTAGCAAAAAGATCTCTGGCTCTTGGCTGGGTGACAAGAGTGTGCAAAAAGCAAAGGGAGGGGCTGTCTCCCACATCCCCTCCCGCTGCCCCACCACCACAGCGTGCCCCGTCTGTTTGGCTCTCAGCATCCCATGCCACGGGTTCATGCTCTTTTACCCTCTCATGGTGGGGGCTCTGCTTGCCACGGCTGTCAGCATCAAGATCCCTGTATGTCTGTTGGCAACAAAGTAGAAACTTAAGCTCCATGGATATGGCTCTGTTTGGACCTACTAAGTGACAGTGGGAAATTCAGGGGCAGAAATTCAGAGTTCAACACATATACCCTTCCCCTCCGAACCCCATCCCCAGGTAACCATAATCCCATCTATACCAAATCCCATGACATAGGCCAACCTTCTGGACAGCCATTCCACCCCGCAGCCTCCAGTGAGGCCGGCTACACTGATCAATAAGGAACTGTGGTTAGTACGAAGGTGAACAAGCACAGCTCTCTCACACAGTGGCGTCAGATCAGAGGCACTAAACGGAAGGGTTACAAGGAGAGGCAGGTTAAAGGGCTGACACATTCCACAACGAGACATTTTAGGAAGGAAGGGTGGGGAGGTGGAAATTGGCTAGAATATAAATGACTATGACAGCAGTCCAGAGAAAACTCCCGAGTGGGGAGTGGTCCCTGAATAGGAACATGGGACCAAAGCATAATTTACTAAAGGGAGAAGTACATGTGTTTTTGATGAACAGATGGAAGGTGTATGTGGGAGAGCAGAGACCTGCAGGCAGGCACGTGGCCTTGCGCATCTGAGGAGCCATGAATGGCAATCACAGGACCAGGGGCAGCTGCTCGCACCACTTCGGATGGCTAAGGCCCCAAGGCTTCTGACATGGCTGCTCCTATCCAGCAGCCATGAGCGTAAGTCTCTGCGGGCAGGGGGAGGCTGGAGCGTGGCCCCAGGCCCACAAGCCACATTCAAGTCTGGCTGCATGGCTTACTATGTGGCTCAGGCATGTGGCCTCTCCACCCTATGCCACAGTCTCCTCCCTGGTGAAATGGAGCCAATAACAGCACCTGCCTCCCAGTGTTATTGTGAGAACTGACAGAGACACTGCTTGAAAAGAACTGAGTGTGCTTCCCAGGTGGCAGCAGGTGCTGAGGATGGCTAGCTCTTATGCAGATAAAGGTACTCAGCAGCTGCTCAACCTGCAATGGCTCAGTGCTGAGAACCACGGACACAGGTGGGGCCTTTAAAATCAGTCACGTTACTACAGTCACCCTTTAAACCGGCCACCTTAGTTGGGAAAATGTCTTTCCATGGATCCTGCTCTTGGAATTCAGAGTTTACTTTATAGGAACATACCATGAAGGTCATCAATGCCATCCCACAAATGTGCTTTCTACACATGTCTTGCCGCAGCTGCACGCCTGCTGTCCTCGCTGGCCATGTCGGTGGCTGGCTATGGAGCCGCTCCTGAACGGTCTGCCCGGTGTGCCAGCACAGGGGGTGGGAGGAGTATTTGTTGGAAGATGCTGAATGGGTTAGAGGCAGAGCTCCAAGAATCAAAAGGAGCCAAACTCACATGGAGAAGCCCTGCAGCAGCTCCCTAAGGCCTTACCCCGGCTCACTGTGCAGCAAGAGAAAAGCTGCCTTCAGTGGGGTTCTTGAAAAACCGGCTGCCCTGGGGCTCGGCTGCGCGACAAACGGCACCATCGTGTTTCCCTGATGTGGGACTGCCCAGGGTCAGCTGTGAATGCAGGACACACCATCCTGAGGGCCATAAAAGTTGCTTCCACCACAAATGGTTTCTATGAAAGGCCTTTCTTTCTTCTTGACGGTTATTGCTGATAACAAGAAACTGATTTGGTCTCTACGCTAGCCGCCTACACAGACAGGCAGGGAGACACAGACAGGACCACAGAGCATGCAGAGAGGATCACCTGCTGGCCGCCACGCGCCCCACAGGGAGGTGGAGTAGGGGGAGGAGACAGGGTGATCACTTTTTTGGGGCAGGTCCGAGAATACTCCTTTTCCCGTGGCTTTTAGACCAACAGACACAAAGAAAGAGAACATTATTGAAACAGTGGCTCTTTGGAGGCTGGTTCTGGGAGGACTGAAGGGCGTTCGTCAGAAGCACCCCAGGGGGCCTTTCCTTGCCCCTCCATCCTCAGAGCGCAGGCTGGTGGTCTGCGTGGACCCCCAGGTGGGACGTGAACCTTCTGACAGGCACAGCCACAGAGGTGATCTGTGGAACTAGGGAGAACCAGTGGCACGGCACGTTACAGGTGCCAGGAGCAACAGTTTTGTCAGGGAAGTTGGGGCTCGTGGCTGGGCGCTGTGGCTCCCGCCTGTAATCCCAGCACTTTGGGAGGCTGAGGCGGGTAGATCACCTGAGGTCAGGAGTTCGAGACCAGCCTGGCCAACATGGTGAAACCTCGTCTCTACTAAAAAATACAAAAATTAGCTGGGTGTGGTGGCGCATACCTGTAATCCCAGCTACTCGGAGGCTGAGGCAGGAGAATCACTTGAACCTGGGAGGCGGTGTTTGCAGTGAGCCATGATAGCAGCACTGCACTCCAGCCTGGGCAACAGAGCAAGACTCCGTCTCAATTAAAAAAAGAAAGAAAGAGAGAAATAGGCTTGCTGATGAATACAGAAAAAGGGCAAACAAGCCAACCACCAAGAGAGGACACAGACCCCCCTCAAAGGCTTGGTCACATGCACCCACTGCAGCAAAGCAGTAGCCCCTTCAGGACGCAGCTGTGACAGCGGCTTGCACTGCTGCCCTCCTCTCAGTCCCTGCACGCACGCTCAAAGGGCTCCAGGAAACCAACAAGGAAATGCAGGAAAGGCAGGAGCATGATGTAAAAATTAAACGTGTCACTAACACTTAAATGCCATGTACGTACATGTTCCTGGCTTTACCCTCATTCCGCCCTCCACTGTATTCCCTTCCGTGAGTCTGTCTACAGTTTAGAAGGACCCCTGGTATTTGAGAAACAATCTCTGATATCTTCCAGGGAAACTCTCATCTCCCTGTGCCCAGGTGACCCATGTGGCAGCAAAGGGAGGGGGGAGCAGGGAAGCCACGAGGCCTGGGGAACAGCCCCACACTCGCCCAGAGCTCCCACAACAATCAACTTCCAAACCAGGGCTGGTTGACACATTGAGCTTCCCTTCAGGATGCATTTCTGAGATCAAAAGGCAAAAGGGTGGGGAAGGGAAGAGCCACAGTGTTTACAAAGGAAGGAAATAAAGAGAAGCCACTGGCAGGCAGAGCTGCTATTAATTTCCCTGTTCCACACGATGACCTGGGCTGAAAGTGGCCCTCTGTTAACTCAGCTATCACTGCCCTGCCAGGCAAGGCCCTCCTGCCTCTCAACCACCTCCAGAGAAGCACCGTGAGTCACAATGGGGTGCTGCCAATCAGCCCGGCTTCCTGAAGGAAGATGGGGAGGACCAGCCACTGGGGCATCAGATGCAGGGTCCGGGTACCACTGGGGTTCCTCTGTCCCAGGTTTCTGTAGTACCTGGCACTGCAACTGCAACTGTCTTACGGGAGATAAATTTAGAAGGCCCAAACTCACGATTTAGAGCTGAGAAAGTTCTACGTGAATACTACACGTTTCACATGGATGTAAGAACTGTGAGTTCTGGTTCACAGTGCCATCTCCCTGCTACCATGCAAATTCGCAAATCCCCACGGGATATCGCCTAAGGCACCAGAGAACCTAACAGGGTTCTCACAGCTCACGATTTCTCACCAATCACATCTCATTTCCACATCTGCCCAGCTACTGTTTCTAATGGTGGTCTCCGGCGCCCATCCCACAGAACCTGCGTTTCACTTTCATGGTTCTATTCCACTGCCCACATAGCGTGCCAGTCTCCTGCCCCACCATGATCATACTGACTCAAGTGACAACCTGAGCTGGCGGGGACGACCAACATTCTCCAGGGAGAATGCGGCATGAGGGTTACAGGCCCCCAGACACTTAATGAACACATCACCAAGCTCCTGAAGCCCCTTCAGTGCAGCTCAGTCACACGATGAGCTGATGCGCCCCTTGTCACCAGGGCTGAGGCCTTGGCTGGACCAGGCCACTCTGGCTGCACCTGCTGCCCGAGACTTCCAGCTGCCCACCAAGCGCCATTCCACCCACTCCAGCCACGGCCACCTGTTCCCCCGCTCGCCTCCTGACCTCCCTTCTTCCTCTGCTCCTATCTCAGGTACCTGTTACAATACTGTAAGAGGTTTTGCAATCCAATTTACAGTTCCCTGTCCCCTCAACAGATCCTCAACTAAACATAATCTTTCAAATCACACCTTCCACCTAAACATCAAGGCAAAGGTTAAGAAAATAAAATGCAAGTGGTTTTCCAATTAGATTTTTCAGAAGACCTCCCTCAAGTACAGACAGAGGAGAGGGTAAATTTGCCTTCTGTTGCAAGTTTGGATACTGCTTCCAAAACTCCATCTCAGCCTCTTGGGCCCTGCCTTTGATGTGCTATATTATCAAAGAATGGTTAAAAAGCAACATTTTTGCCTGAATGTAATTTAAATAAAACCCAACTCACCACTCCTCAGCATCTCCTGACAGTAAAGTCATCCTCGAGCACAGGAGGCTGTGGAGACTGACCGTGGAGGACAGTGACGGCACTCAGGGCCAGCTCACGGCCCTCTCAGCATCTTAGCAGCCTAAATGACATCACACTACGAGGCAGCCAACCCTGGCTCCACGCGAGAGCAGGGACTCGCTCAGCTGTGACATGGAGGAAATGCAGTCAGGGCTTTCAATCCCTCTGATGGGCTTTCTCTTAGAAAGCGCATGTCATCACCTGCCCTATTCTGTACTACTTAGGATAAGCAGTTTTCCAGGAGATCCTGCCAAGGTTTTAGTGATACTTTCCAAAAACTTTAATTTAAATGTAGAGAAAACACCAAGAAAATGCCCAGGAATACTTTCATCCAGGATTTGAAACAAACAAAAACTCACTGTTCCAGACTCTTCTTGGATAACGTTTTCCTATGTAACGTAAAAGGCTCTACGCTCCAACTCTCAGGCTTGACATACTCAGAATTCTCTCTCCCAAGGTCATGAGGAGACATACCAGAAAAAAGTCAACCTACAGCAAATGTGACAATAGCAAACCCAAGAGCTAGGGTACCCTCGGGTGAGCCACCTACCACACAGCTTCAGCGAGTTTCAAACCAAATCAAGTCTGCTTTTCAACTCTTTCTCAAATCACCAGGAGTTACACAGATCATGGAACCAATCAGCACTGCCTGGTCAATGCGTTCCCAGGCCACTACTTGAATGAGCAGAGGCTTCCGGCTCTCGTGAGCTAGGATTCCAGAGCAGGCCTGAACCCTGGCTGGCTCAGGAGGAGGGATGGGAAGGCCTGGAGAGACAGTACCCATCATGGCCCTGGCAGTTCCTTTACCTGTTTCCACTGGGGTGTGGGGGCAGGGCGACCCTGCCCAGGCAGGCAGCAGGACGGCTGGCTGGCCCCACGCTCTTGTGTCAGCTGGGACACACAGGATGTGGGTGGGGACAGGACATGGAGACAAAACAAAATAGAAATACATTAAGGTGGGAGAAGAACAGAAGAACTCACAGGGGACAGCCACACATCTGTGAGCTGTGGGGAAGAGGGAGGATTCATTCTTAGAAAGTTACACTTCTAAAGCGAAGAGCCCCCCACCCCCAAACCAAAAGGAAATCCAAAAGAACAGAAAAAGGAAAACACAGGCTGGGACACCCATTCTCTTTTTCCCAAGCTCCATGTTCTGAGTCTAAACCACTAATTCTGATCTGGAAAACTAATAATCCCATCCCAAATGAGGAAAGCAACCTTCTCTCGGAGGCGGTCTTCCTCTGACAGACAGCTTTCCAGCCTTCCCGAGGCAGGGGAACCTGGAGGTTCCCGAGGCAGAGTCTCCAGATAGCCTCAACTGTTTGTCAATGAATCTCATCACCTTTTCTGTGGGCCACAGCATGAGAAGACTGGTGTGCAAAGACTGGGAGGTAGTTAATGACGGCCAGACTCCGAGCAAGGCTGGTCCCTCCCCTCTGGTCCCTAGGAAGAACGGCTGATGGGCATGGAGAAGATGAAGAGAGAGAAGGGAAATTCAGAGAAGGGGCCCCTGCCTCTCTCAGTTACCAGGGAGATTTCTAAGATACTTTCTGTGTCAATCTCCAAAGTCCCAGCCCCGCCTCTTGTAAGAAATCAGAGTGACTTTTAGACAAGCAAGGGGAGAGACACACCCTAACAAAGACACCCCGAGCCACGAGCTGTTGCCATGCACGCTCATGCATGCCATGTGGGAGTGCCACTTAGCACTCAAATGCTCATCATATTCCTAGGAAAACGTCCTGGGAAAGGGCTGCAACACACAAAAGCAGCTTTATCACAAGAATGTTCATCTCTGTATCTTATCATGAAAGATGAGAAACCACTTGAACATCCAACACTGGAGCAAGAGCTAAGAGAAGCCTGACGCCCCCACGTTCTAGAAGGCACTTGTAGAGTTAGGAACATCGGAATGCCTAAGGTTAAACGGAAAAAGGAGAATCAAAAAATATAGTTAAGAATGACATCACCTACCGAAACAAGAATACACTGAAAAAAAGACCAGAAAGAAGGGCAGGAAAATATGAACAGAATTACAGGTGGCTCAATGACCTTTACTGTACTTTCCAGCATCTTCCTCAGTAAGCATGTGCATCTGTAGAATTTAAACATGTCTGCAAACATGTACAGAGGCACAGGTATATAAATATAGATTTTTTTTTTTTGATTCCTCTGCTGATTCTTACCAGTGGACATCTCAGGCCTGAACAACCCTCAGAGCCTGAGGCAAGCCAGACATTAGTCTTGAGTCCATGAACCCTGGGATCTGTGACACAGCCAGTCTCAATGGACAGAAAAGACCCCTTCTTGTGTGACCTGACACATCTGTGTGGCGAGGAGCGGGTCACGTTTACCTGTCTCCGGACGCCGACGGACTGGGCGGGCGCATTCTCCTCAAATTTGGCCAGCAGCTGGGTTGCCATGTACTTCACTTTGTTCTGGTTCCCAAGGGCAGCGTCCATCCTCCTGTCCGTCAGAGTGCTCACCAGGCTCGGTCTTTCTCCCCTGTGGCCCCGGGGAGCTTCCTCCTGGTCAACACCAACCCCAAAGAAGCCAGCGCTGTGACAGGAGGCTCCGCCCATGCCCCTCCCTCACAGAAGTGCGCTCAGGACCTGGCACGGGGACTGGTGGTCTGGCTTTAGGTTGAGCTTGGCAGCTCTCAAGGCTGTGTGTCCACAAGGAGACAGCAAGCCTGGAATTAGGGCTATCTAAAGAGTACTGGGTCCTGTGCTGCTACTGCCACACCCCGGGAGGGCCACCGCCCTCAGACGCATGTGAAACAGAGACAAGGAGGCCCCGGTGCACGTGCATGAATCCCTAGGTGCACTCTGGAAAACGAAACAAAGGCAAACAGCCACAGAAAAAACCCAAAGAGGCCAGGCACGGTGGCTCACACCTGTAACCCCAGGACTTTGGGAGGCCAAGGCGGGTACATCGCTTGAGGCCAGGAGTTTGAGACCAGCCTGGACAACCTGGTGAAACCCCATTTCTACTAAAAAATTAGAACAATTTGACTGGGTGTGGTGGCTCACACCTGTAATCCTTGCACTTTGGGAGGCCAAGGTGGATGGATCACTTGAGATCAGAAGTTCGAAACCAGCCTGGCCAACATGGTGAAACCCCATCTCTACTAAAAATACAAAAATTAGCGGAAAGTGGTGGTGCACACCTGTAATCCCAGCTACCTGGGAGGCTGAGGCATGAGAATCGCGTAAACCTTGTAGGCAGAGGTTGCAGTGAGCCAAGATTGCACCACTGCACTCCAGCCTGGGCAACAGAGCCAGATTCTGTCTTAAAAAAAAAAATTACAAAAATTAACTGGGTGTGGTGGCACATGCCTGTAATCCCAGCTACTCAGGAGGCTGAGGCAGGAGAATCGCTTGAATCCAAACCCAGGAAGCGGCGGTTGCAATAAGCCCAGACTGCACCATTACACTCCAGCCTGGGCAAGACTCTGTCTCAAAAAAAAAAAATAAATAAAATAAGAAAGAAAGAAAAAAGAAAAGAAAAAGCCCAACAGAAATTCTCATCAAGGATGAACATGAAAAAACCTAGCAACACCAATGTGAAAATGAAGGATTTAAACCAAAAAGGGCTATTCCACGTGACCACTGCAGCAAATCCCAAAGGAATCTCACCTCCTCCGACTGACTGGTCTTTCTCCTCTTACCAGCACCATCCAAGTCCTTTTCCTTTTTATCCTGTACAGAGGGAGGAGGGAAACTGCATTATTCTAGCCACGCATACCTCGCCATTAGCTTTGCAGCCCATCAAGAGACTCATCCATACCTTGGGAGAACGCTTCCGGGAGATGGTCTGGCCCAGCTTGCTGAGGAAGGAGATAGGGGATCTGGTGCTGGCTATCAGGACTGCTTTCTCCTCGGCATTCAGGTCCAAAGTGTCTGGAGACAGAAATCAGTAATGTTGAAGCACAGCCCTTGAGGGCGCCGCAAAATCCTGACCAAAACTACTGTCCCTTGTGGACGGTTGGCAGAACCTCCAAAGGCTCTAAAGGTTTACCAGCTATGACAAACATGTGGCCTCAGGAGGAGACCCAGCTATGACAAGCATGTGGTCTCAGGAGGAGACTCCACGGAGGACGTGCACACTTGGGTATGGATGTCAAGTCTTTTTTTCATTCACATAAACAAAGATGACCCTTCTTCCCAATCTACTTCAGTTACCAAAACCTACACTTTTGTTTTTCAAAAGTTGGAAGCTGGCTGTGATTGGTGAGTTATAGCAGAGTGCTGAAGGCTCGTTTTTGTGACAAAAATTTCAGGACAGAGAGAGAGGGAAGGAGAGAGAAAAGCAGAGAGGCAAAGAACTTGGGGTTCCTGGTTTTAGTGTTAGAGTTGTGGCTTTCTGTTTTAAGAATGGCACAGCTCACCAGGAAAAGCCACAGATACCTACAAGAATATATGGGCTGGGAATTACTGGGAGGGTGGTACCACAAACTTTTTGGATTTCCATGTTTCATTAGTAACAACAGTAATTTTTAAAACAGTTATCAATTAATAGTAAATCACTAACATTTATTAAGTACTTCCACTGGCCAAACAGCCTTCTTGGCACATCACAATGTAATTATACATATGATCCTCATTTTACATCCATTAACCCATTTTACAAGATAGGTTGATGGAAAGTGAGAGAGGAAGATTTAGTAACTTGCCTAAGGCTACGTGGAAGCCTGGGAAACTGTAAATCCAGGTCAGAGCCCACAGCCAACACTCTAGCCTCATGCTACACTTGTTCCAAGGAGCAGTTAATGACAACAGGAGTATTTTTTATAGCACTATGAGAGCCTGAGGCAGCAAGCTGGGCGACAAGCAAAGATTTTTGGGAAGCGCTAGGAGGTAGGAGTAGAAAGGGAAGTCAGAGAAGGCACAGTGACAGGAGAAAGAAGGGGGACAAGCTGAGCATGGCTCAGGACCACAGACACTGAGGAGATGAGAATTCCAAGAAAAGGGACCTCACTCCCCGGCACCCAACAATGCAGAAGAGCAAGTGGTGAAAGACGGGAACCGAGGAAAGAGTATGACGTGAGCATCCTCCTGCCTGGGAACGGCGGCAGTAGCGTGGTGTGAAGACAAGCCAGATTATAATCTGTGACGAAGTTTGGGCCATGCAGAAGGAGAGGCCGTGAGCGCAAACTGTGGCTTCACAAAGGCTGGCTCTGAGAGCACGTGCACTAGAAGCTGGCAGAGTCATGGAAAAAGACTTGGTGCAGGAACGATTTCTGCATATTTACAAATTCAGTGAGAAAGACATGGGGAAGAATGAGGGGTTGAAAACATGCTACCAGAGAAGGAAAAATAATGAAGCAGAGTTCCAGAGATTTCCCCGACAGCTCACTGGTAAAAACACAGAGTAACTTTGTGTTTGGTGGTACTGCTGCGGGGAGGGAGGGAGGGAGGAAGGAAGGAGCAAGCAGCTGGGCCATAGCACAGCGGCAGGGGCCAGCTCCTCCCGTGCCTTACCGCTAGAGGGTAGGGAGTCCTTAAACATCTCGTAGAACTGAGTCAGGTACATCACCATGGACAACTTATCAGGCTCCCCGACGGAGGCCATTTCTTTGCCTGTCATGATGGGAGAAATGCCCAATTCCTTCTCAGCAATGTCAAAGGCCAGTTGGTTATTCTTCTCCACATTTTGCTCATCCAAAGAATCAAAATCTCTGAGAAACAGGACAAGGAAAATGTATGAAGACACACTGACTGTCCTTACGCAGGAAGCACGGTGTCATGGAGTCATGGTCCTTTCTCTGTTTTTAGCTGAAAACCAGGGTGCTGTGCATCAGTGACACCTGAGAGCAAACCTGTTTTATCTCACCTCCTGTTCTCTTTCCTTTTACTAAGAAAAAGCAAAGCAACCTCAGGGAGTGACTAAAAGTCTACCAACCTAAGGAAAAAAAAAAGGAGAAAGTCGAAAAACTACTCTCATTTTTCTGTAACACAGATTTATTACTATAATAAATAAGCTCGAGAACAGGGACTGGCTGGGCACAGTGGTTCACACCTGTGATCCCAACACTTTGGAAGGCTAAGGCAGAAGAACTGCTTGAGCCCAAGAGTTCAATTTTAAAAACTCGATTCAAATTAAAATGAGCCAGGCACCGCAGCATGTGCCTACAGTCCTAGCTACTTGGGAGGCTGAGGCAGGAGGATCACTTGAGCTTGCACGTTCAAAGTTGCTGTAAGCTGCGACTGTACCACAGTGCCCTCCATCCTGGGAAGTAGGGCAAGACCCTGTCTCTAAAAATAGACAATAACAGGAACTATCTGTAATATATCTTGATCCTTGTGTATGGCCCATACATATTAAACTAATGTCAAAACATGACAAATCTCCTACTTGAATCAGACTGCTCCTACAGGCCTGGGACTATCCCCCACCATGACCCTTAGATCCCACAAGCTGTTAACGTCCTAAATCAGCTCTGGGAAATCTCAGCCTTCTCCTGGAGGAGAAATGCCAAAATCCTCCTCAAAATTTTTTTCCATTACTAAGTTTCCTATTTAGATTTATGACCATTTTCTACTGGGTTTAAGCCTCTTGCTGTTCAGAGTGAAGACTGATCGCCTTCTTCTTTACATGACTTCAGATTGACCCAGCAGCCCCTGTTCTGTGTTAACCTAGAACCCCACAGCATTCTCCGCCGTCTCTAACTCCTCCTCACTGTGGGGGCGGCCTCTGACACCACGCCCTTGCTGCTGCTGAACAGTGCGACAGTGCCGTGCCGTTCTGTGCTGCTTGGCCTTCCTAGAAGACGGTCCCTAACCTTCTCCAGGCGCCCCTCCACCCCCACGCTAGGCTTCCCTTTGGAACTGAGCTGACTCACCTGCCTATCCTCTGCCACGGATCACAATCCTTCCCAAGCTGCTCTTCCTTGCCTCACCCCCTTTCTTTGTGGAAGTGAGGAAGCCCTATTTTTACTTACTTGTTATCAACTTCTGGGTGAGCTAAGTGACAGGAGCACCAGAGGTCACTTACCTCCATCCAAGCACACCAGAAATCCCCATCTGTAATCCACACTGTGCAGGGCCCTTTTTACCAGCTCTTGCCTCGTCAGTTTATAACCATCATATAAATAGCAACTATATCTTGTAGAATTCCTTAAGCAATCATTAAACAAAACAAACAGAAAGCGAGCTCTTAAGTGGACCTAATGATGAAAAGGACAGGAAGCCAAAATAGAGCAACACGCTCTGCTCCTGCATCCTTCTGTTTGGCTTCTGTGGAATAAATGCTGACGGGGGAAGTTGGATGTGCTGGCCCCGCAGCTGACCTGGGGTCACCCTAGAGCGCTGATTCTGTGGGCAGGTGTGTGGAGAATGGCCAAAGGAGCTGTCACTGGGATAGGTGGGCAGGACAACAGAGCATGTCTGTAAAAAGTGCAGTCTTTAGCACACAGAACACACCGATGAACCATCATAAATCGGTTCAGTCTCATGATGTTTTGCTTTGTTAGTAGTGACACATTTGCCTTGAGCTGGCCAAATGTTCTGGCCAGGTTTCCCTTGTGACCCATAGGATTTGAGACATAGCTGGCCAAAATGAAGAGTTCAACCCGGGGCCAATAAACACAGTTTTCCTTTGTGTGAAGCTAACAGGCCCAGGTGACTGTCAAAACCAGTTTTTGACTTATGAGTGTTGTGATTTTTAAAACTCAGCCACAGGAGTGTAAAAGGCTTATTGGAAAATAAAAAATAAAAATCACTTCTGGGCTGAGCTACGTAACAGATGACATACAGAGTTTCAAACAGAGTAAAATCGGGCTGGGCACGGTGGCTCACACCTGTAATCCTAGCACTTTGGGAGGCCAAGGCGGGTGGATCATTTGAGGTTAGGAATTCAAGACAAGTCTGGCCGACAGAGTGACACCCCGTCTCTACTAAAACAAAATACAAAAATTAGCCGGGCCTGATGGCGAGCCCTGTAATCCCAGCTACTTGGGAGGCTGAGGCAAGAGAACCTCTTGAACCCAGGCAGCAGAGGTTGCAGTGAGCCGAGGTCATGCCAGTGTACTCCAGCTTTGGCAACAAATGGAGACTCTATCTCACAAACAAACAAACAAATACAGTGAAATCAAAATCACTGCCTTCTGCAGAAAGTACCTTACTATGTACCTAATTCTAGGAAAAAGGACAAAATGTTACTTGACAGCAGAGTGGTCTGAGATCCTTGGGAATATAAAATAAAACACAAAGTTTGATCACGACTTACATCAGGTCAGGGCGGTATCTGTGGATAATTGCACAAAGGGCCAAGCCACTTTTCCAAGACATGGTGAGATCTGTCACGTTTACTCCTGCATAGCCATCTGTCTGCCTCTGGCACCAACCCAGCAGTTTGCTTGAACGAGCTACAGACTCTAAAACAACAAAACACATTATTATTGGAGGTGTGGTCACTGGTAGCGCTGACACAGAATCCTCTTTGCAGGACACACGTCCACTCTGAAAAATGACTGAGGGTAGGGACAAAACAGTTAATGCTAGTTTCCATTCAAAGAAAACAGTGAGGACACAAGGTTACACAAATGATATTACGATAGTGAATTCTAATAGAAAAGGCACCAGCAGTTTATTCAGAGTCTAAGGTCAACATTCACCCCCCAGCACCCTGAGGGACCACAGCCCGACAGCCGCAGCCCACTGTCCCCTGGCACTGAGGTGAAGGAGCGCCACCTACTGTGGCCAGCCTGGCTCACAGCAGCTCTGAGTTCCCGGACAGTCGGCGAGCACCTGGCTGGGGAAAGTTTCCTCCTCCAAAGTAACACTTGGAAAAGGAGAGGAGAGAAGGTGGCAGTTTCAACCCAAAGCACCCAGGCCTTGCCCTTGAACTTTCCAAGGCACTGCACAACTTGCCAAGAGGAGAAGCCCTGCAGGACTTTCCTGACAATGCTGGAGCCCCAGACCACACGGTCCTCGAATGGAGCTTGGCACCTCATGTTATGAATTCTCAACCCTAAAAACTGAACAGGCAAACACATGTGCTAGGATGCTTTACAGTTCACTGAAATGTTTCTTTTTTGAGACAGAGTTTTGCTCTTATTGCCCAGGCTGGAGTGCAATAGCGCAATCTTGGCTCATTGCAACCTCCACCTCCCGGTTCAAGCCATTCTCCTGACTCAGCCTCCAGAGTAGTGGGGATAATAGGCATGCACCACCATGCCTGGCTAATTTTTTGTATTTTTAGTAGAGACAGGGTTTTCACCATGTTGGTCAGGGTGATTTCGAACTCCTGACCTCAGGTGATCCGCCCGCCTTGGCCTCCCAAAGTGCTGTGATTACAGGCGTGAGAACATGTGAACTATTTATGTCCAAGAAAGTCTATTCCCTTACCGAGGGAAACTGAAGTTTGTACTAAGTCATTTAGTAATTTGTGAACATGAGATAAAAACTGAGTATCGCGAAAATCCTGTTTCATTTAGGTTTTTCACCATGAAAATGTATTCTACATAACACATAGAAGCACTTTCTGGTGCCATCTCTTGGCTCCGAAAAGAGCTTTTACACAGATCTGTCTTCCAGGTCTGTATATCCAACCACGCAATATGTATGGGCAACTTCAGTATTCCAGGCGCTAAAATAAAAACAGTGAATAAAGATACATTCTCTGATTTTAAAGAGAAGACACTCCACTGGAGAAAAAGACAACTGTTTCCAACTGCCTGCTGGTCCTCACATCCACCCTGGCATCCCAACAGCACGTCGAGGTCACGACGTCCAAACGACCCGAGCCTCTCATCCTCTCAGCCCTCCCTCTGCCTTGCCTGCACTGATGCAGCACCATCTACAACACCGACCTCCTGCCCCACGAGGCGATCAACTGCCCCTGCCCATTGAGTCCACCTCCTCACCATTCTCTCTCGCATAACCGACAACGGCAATGACCGTCCACTGTGGGCCCGGCACTCATGATCACAATGTGAGGGACACACTGCTGCCTCCACTTCACAGACAAGGAAGTTCAGAGCTGTTCAATCACCTCTTCAAGGCTGCACCATTCACTAATGGCAAAGCTTGGCCTGGGACCCAGCTGCACCTGGCCCAAAGTCTGAGGTCTTCTCCGTTACCTCCTCCCTTCTTCACCCCCAGCCAGATCTGGGCCTTCGCCACCTTTGGCCTGACAATGGCGATGTCTTTCCACCTGGTCTCCCTGCCTCTGGCACTTCCCTCCTCCATCCTCTCTTGTGTGGCTGACCAGGTATGCTCACATCATTCTCTTTCAGAAAAGTCTTCAGGGCCTTTAATACATGCAAAATCTGGAGTGACCTTCACCGGTCACTGAATCCGGGCAGTGCCACCACCTCTTCCATAAAGTCTTCTATCAAAACAGCTTTCACACTCTCTCCCTCTCTCCCCTTTGCCCAGTATCTGTATCTGGTTTCTCTCTGTGCTCTTGTAACACCTCAGGCCAAGGGAATTCTGTGTGGTGGGGACCTGTCTTGTGCATTGCAGGATGTTTAGCCACGTCCCTGGCTAGAGGTCAGTAGTACCCACTCCCAACCATGATAATCAAAAATGTTCCCAGACACTAACAAGAAACCCCTGGAGGGCAAAATCACCCCTGGTTGAGAGCCACTGCCTGAGACCGCACTTTACAGTTCAGTGAATGAGTGCAGGCCTCTCTGAAGGGTCTGCTGCATTTTAAAAAGCCACTGTCAGAACTCACCATTGCGAGTCAACTTGGGGGTGGTTCGGGAATTCGCCAGGCTCTCCATTTCCAGGTGAATATCTTTTGTTTCGCCAGTATCATACAAATGGCGTACCTGGCAGACATTTATAAAGTCAAACAGAAGGAAAACCAAGTATCAAGTAACAAACTCCTACCTAGGAGCAGAATGGCTGAAAGGACAGACTGGGATACAAGCTTGGGCAAAGTTCAGACTGAAGTTATGAAGATGACCTTTAAATCCTTTATAAAGCAAGGCGGGGTTATAGAAAAACACATACATATTAACTGTGGGATCTTGTGCTAAAAATCAGCTACACGGGGCTGGCTGCAGTGGCTCATGCCTATAATCCCTACACTTTGGGAGGCTGAGGCCAGGAGATTGCTTAAGGCCAGGAGTTCAAGATCAGTGTGGGAAACACGGGGAGACCTCGTCTCTACAAAATATTTAAAAATCAGCTGGGCATGGTAGTGCATGCCTGTAGACCCCGCTACATGGGAGCCTGAGGTGGAAGAATCACTTGAATTCAGGAAGTCAAGGCTGCAGTGGGCCGAGATTATGCCACCGCACCCCAGAGAGCCTGGGCAACAAAGGAAGATCTTGCCTCCAAAAAAAAAAAAAATTAGTTACTTGGCCATGGAGGCCCCTCTAAGAGTCTCAGCTGAACTTTTAATGCTGCCTCTTAACAGAAGGCCCAAAGGTATAAACTTCAAGTAGACGGTAACTAGAAAATTACACTAAAGGCTGGGTGCGGTGGCTCACGCCTGTAATCCCAGCACTCTGGGAGGCCAAGGTGGACAGATCACGAGGTCAGGAGTTCAGGACCAGCCTGGACAACACAGTGAAACCCCGTGTCTAGTAAAAATACAAAAAAATCAGCCAGGCATGGTGGCACATGCCTGTAATCCCAGCTACTTGGGAGGCTGAGGCAGGAGAATCCCTTGAACCTGGAAGGTGGAGGATGCAGTGAGCTGAGATCACACCACCGCACTCCAGCCAGGGCAACAGAGCAAGACTCCATCTCAAAACAAAAAAAAAAAAAAAAACAAAAAATACACTCGAAGAAGTTCTTTCAAGTGAACGATATCTCTTTTGACCTCACAATGATCCTATGAGCAGCAGGGATTATTCTTCCTGTTTTTCAGGTAAAGAAATTGAGGTTCAGAGAAAGCAAGTCACAGGTGATCAGAAGCTCCCTCTCCTCTCTACGGGGCAAGTGCTCTTCCCTACAGTAAGAATCTGAATTAGGAAATGCGGCATAAAATCCTGGGCCCACCATTTTTATCACGTTTGCCTTTCTGTAAGTCACTCAACAACTCTATGCCTTAGCTCTCAATCTGTTGATGGAAAATAATATCTACTTCTACCAGTTCAGAGAGACATCTACCTAAATTACTAAAAAAGTATTCTTGGATGCGTGGTATTAACAGCTGCATGCGTTTCAACAGATCAGAGTTCTGATCAGTTCTGCAGATGGGCCCAGATGTAAAGACTGACAAGAAGGCTCTCACCTGGCTTGGCCGGAGGAAGTTGACGTTGATATTGGGATACCGAGTGACTGGGTCGATACTATATTGGCTGAAGTTCTTACTCACATTTTCAGGGGTAGTCTGAGGCAGCAACCTATAAATACTCTCCCTGCAGTAACACAACAATATACTCAGCTGTGACCAGCACCGTGAACATCTCCCTCTCTTTTCCTGGTGGTTCTGACAGCCCAGTAGTCACCTGACATGCCTGACAAATCCTCATCCTTGACCAGTCTTCCCCACATCAGCCCCGACATCAGCCCCCAGCTTCCCAGACCCACTCCCAGTGATTCCACGGGTACCGATGGGGTAGGAGCCCAGGAGAGCCAGCAGGCCTGACACCATCGGCACTCACGGACGCCACCTCCAACTCAAAAGGCCACACATTCACTCTTTTGTTTTTTCAAGCATGCCAGTATTTACTTCAATTAAAAATCAATACGGAAATGAACTGCCGCCATCTTTAGTCAGAATGCCGTAGTAACAGACAGAATATAATGAGACCAACTCCCAATTTCATCCAGGCAATCCTGTCTCTCTGATTCTTCTGGTCAAGGTATTCGTTCTTATCAGAAAGCAAATCCTAGGATTTTTATTACATTTGCAAAAATCCGCTTCAAAATATCCCATTTAGGGGTTTGAGAAACATTTATAAGCAGTTTGGCACTTTCTTCTGACTTCAAAGCTACTTTTAAATTCTTCTCTCTCAGTAAGAAATTTAATTTCAAAGGAGTAAGAGAAGACTTACTCCAGGAGACTCATCTTTAGGTTTCTACGATTTTATGAAATCCTATCTTGCCTTTTCTCTTTTCGACATGAAAACATCTTTAATTAAGAAAGCAGAGAGAGAAGAAGGAAGAATGTGCACTCTGCCTAAAGAGTAAACCCTCCTTCCTCAGCTTTCTTCCGAAAGGAGCCCCGGGTTGCTTTCCATTACCTCTCCGCCAGCACTTCCAAAGGGCTTGTTCCTAGAGACCAACTTCGGACCATCCAGGCAGAGTCCATAGCAGCTAGAAAGCCCCGGGCTATTCCTGTTCCCATGGGCCAGAAAGGCTGTAAATAAGACATAAAACAAAGAATTAAAAAAGAAAATACCTTTCAAAACAGGAAAAATAAACCAAGAAACAAAGAGTTTGCTGTTAACAGTAGTATCTGACAACTGTTCCAATAACAAACTGCCCTGATTCCCAGATCGGTAGGGAGCAAGTCAAAAAAGCTGCAGAATTCCCATCCATACTTCATTGGCCTGGGCTCCCAGAAGCCTGTAGCCCTCCCACCTTCCTGGTGTGACTCCTGCGGGGAGTTTACCTGTGCTGTACAATGCTGTGGATGCTCATTTCAAGATCCAGGATGCCTAGATTCAGTCCTAATTATTCCTGCCCCCACCACAGAACACTGCCATGCTTAGCACTCACCTCTAGGAGGCTGTCCCCGACCAGAGCCACTAGTAACTGGTGTCCGTTCTGCTCCCGGACCAAGGCAGCGTTCTCGGAGGCATACATACAAGTGAAGTCAAACATGGCCACATCGGGCTGCCCATAGTGATTGATGGCAAAATCCAGAGAGGGCAGCTGCTGCTGGGTGGAGAAGTCTGCCGCCTCCCTGGCATAGCTGAGCAGAGCCTCCTGGTCCACGTTCTCCCGGGAAAGCAGGAGCTCTGTGTCGGCATAGTCCTGTCTCCAGAGAAAGAGGGTGAGGATGGAGACACCCTGGCACTCAGCCAGACCATGCTTCTGGGGTCACAGCTTCTCCTTCCCCCTAGTGACTCCACATTCCACAACCAAAGCTTTTATACCATCAAAAGCCAGGGAGCAGGGGGCAGCAGGGAGCAGCCAGGCACAATGGCTCACACCTGTCATCCCAGCACTTTGGGAGGCTGAGGCAGGTAGATCACCTGAGGACAGGAGTTCCGAGAACAGCCTGGCCAACACGGTAAAACCCCATCTTTACTAAAATACAAAAATTAGCCAGATATGGTGGCATGTGCCTGTGATCCCAGCTACTCAGGAAGCTGAGGCAAGAGAATTGCTTGAGCCCGGGAGGCGGAGGTTGCAGTGAGCTGAGATCGTGCCACTGGACTCCAGCCTAGGTAACAAAGTAAGACTCTGTCTCAAAAAAAAAAGAGGGGTTGGGGTGGATTATTCCCAAATAACATAGGCCTTGCTATCTAAACACATGGCCATGGCTTTTCCATTTGCTTGGAGCAGTAACGACTCCTTTGATCTTATCCAATCTGCCTCAGGGTTGTTGAATGTCACATAAAATAAGTTAGGTGACAGTACTTTGTGAGCTGAAAGGGCATTTTATAGTTTTTTTGTTTTGTTTTGTTTTGTTTTTTATCAGCAATCATTATCTTCTGGGTAGTAAATGGCTTTTGTCAAATGGGACCACAAGAAACACTCAGCCTTGCATAACTCATGACACCCGAAGGAAGAACCCAAAAATGCTTCAGTGCCAAAACGACAGGGAGGTGGGAGCAATAGTAGCCCGGGAGGCTGGGAAGGAATACGTTACAAACGGAACAGGGGTTTTCAAAATTGTACATAAGAGTCTGAAAGCCTCCACAGAAACCCACAAACAAAGAAGAACAAAGCTCCTTTTCTGTTTTGGAGGTTCCTGGCACACTGAGTCAAGTCTTCACTCTCTGAAAGTGGGGCCTATGGTTTCTAAGTGGCCCTGATGGTCCTTCCAGCTACCACTACAAGATGTTAAAGCCAAGCACAAACACTCAGGTTGGTCCTAGAAATACTGTTTGTTCAACACCGAGAAAGCAGCCACGTGGGTCTAGTATTTAACAGCACACACTGAAGGTATGGCCCCTGCCCTCTAGGAAAAGTAAACCAGGTCTTGCATTCTAGGCTGCTCCCATCTAATGCTAACTGATAACCACAGCTGGGCCTAGCTGGCAGATTCAGGTCTTCACCTAGTCCCAAGGCATGCGAACTGCTTCACTGGCTATTTCTTACTGCCAGCAATGGAACCCTGACATAATTCCAGATAACCAGTAAGGCAGTTTTAGAAAGCATCAACGAAATACGCCATGCTTCTGCTTTTGGGAGAGCAGACTGTATAAACGGCTTTGTTCTGTTTCTCCCTGCAGGCACGCAGGATGGCTGTGCTTAGAAACACATGGGAGGTTCCTGGGTACAAAGTGGGGGGCTCTGTGCCGCAGGCACACGCTCAGCAGCTCACTCCTCTCTCTGCTGTCGGATAAGGTAGTATTGCAGCTCAGACTGAAGTGACTGCATTTGTACCACCCTGCAAAGACAAAGGACTCCCTGAAATTCAGCTATGAGTCTCTTGAGGGAACTACACAGGCCTGAATCAGCACAACTAGTGCCTCTGCTTCCGTTCCTCTCATCGCATGGGGACAGTGATTCTCATGTTGAGACCAGTGAGACCAAGTAAGATGTAAAGAGCTCTCCTTCACGGACCATCCACTCAGTGGTTTTCTGACTTCACATTTCAAACCACTATTTCAGGGCATGCCATGCAGTCACCTAGAAACAGGCTGAGCTGGACCTGGCTAGGATGGATGCTCAGACATGTTCTATGGTCATAGGGAGGCCTAAGTGTAGCCTGATCCTGTCAGTACTGCCTGAACCTCTGAAAACTGTATCTGCAGTGACACCAGAACCCTCATCAGGCTCCCATAAACACCAATTACTGCTTCTCGGTCATACTCCCTTGCCTCTACCACTCCCCCTTCCAAAAGATAACTCTTTAACCAACCAATAATCAGTCATATACGGAATTCACAATAACCACAAACCAAATCACCTAAAATTGAACTGAATATTTATGTTAAAACGCTGTCCGAAACTTGCTTTGTAAGAATCCAATGGTGATGGAGGAGTGCACTGGAATATGACTCACAGAACACTGGCCACGTGTGGAGAACAGTTAAAGCTGGACAGTGGGCATGTGAGGGTTCATCACACTACTCTCCCCCCATTTTTATTCACATTTGAAATTAGCTATAATAAGAGTTGTTCACGCTAAACTGGAAAACATCAGGGGTTACCAGAATATGCATTCAGTGCTCATTTTCATTCCCTTGCAGGAAAAACCCATCAGACAATCAATTCTTTCTCTTGGTGATCTTAACCACTTCAACAAGAATAAGTTTTGAAGGAAGTCCGTGGCTTACATGCAGTATCACTCCTTTGTCCAGTAAACTCTGCTTTTTGGCCGTCATAACAAAATAGTGTGTGTCGTCTTTGTAGTAAACGATGTTCTCCAAGTCAATACCTGGAGCCGGAAGACAAACGTGTACATGTAAGAGTTTGCTGAGATGAAGGTGCATCACGGCAGCCTGAAAGGGCAGGTAAGAGCCGTGAGACTCCAGGCAAGGAAAGGTGTCTAAGTCCAGACTCTCCCTTCCTGCATCATCAGTTCATGGAAACACAGGGAACTTTGTTTCTCTGTGTTCACTCAACACCCCAAATTATCCTAAAAACAATGACTGATAGTAAACAGAACTGTAGGGATGGGGGAAAAAAAACAAAACCAAAAAAAAAAAAAAAAAAAAAAAAAAAGGCTAACCTCTAAAGAGGGCTTGGATTAGTTACCGGGTTAAGCCTCTCAGGGCAGTCATCAAGGAAGCTGGAGGAATCTCCTAAGTTCTTAAGAACAGGATAGACAACTTGACACCTTGGAAGCCGAGTGAACTACTGACTTTCTAATTCAATTATCTAAAAAATAGATGTAATGGAAAGAAATCTAGAAAACAAGAGAATGAAGTTCTAGAAAACAAGAGGATGAAGGCATATTTAGCAAAATATCTAAGCTGAGCTAATTCAAAACCTATCATACAACAATCTCACTGCTATATGACACACGGTTTGCCTTCAAGCCTGAGCTGGAACTCAGGAAGAAGCCTGAGTTTTTTACATACTTAAAGGCCTAAAGTCAGTTTCCCAACCAAACCAGGGAGCCACTGGCCAGCAGCTACACCAAACACCACGACTCAGCATCACAACACAGGGCAGGCATTGGGAGGCAGAACGAACGCTTTAAAACAAATAAAAACAAAACCCAGACTGGGTGCAGTAGCTCATGCTTGTAATCCCAGCACTCTGGGAGGCTGAGGCGAGTGGAGCCAGGAGTTTCGGAGCAGGCTGGGCAACATGGTCAAACTCTGTCTCTACAAAAAATACAAAAAATTAGAAGGGCATGGTGGTACCAGCCTATAGTCCCAGCTACTCAGGCAGCTGAGATGGGAGGATCGCTTGAGCCCAGGAGTTCGAGGCTGCAGTGAGCCGAGACTGCACCACTGAACTCCAGCTTGTGCAACAGAGTGAGACCCTGTCTCAAACAATAAGCAAAACCTAAAGCAGCCCAGTCACCATAGGGAGGTTAAGAATACAAGAGGAGCCACGTTCCGCAGGAAGCATTACGCCAGGAACAAGGGACAGGAGTGAAGACAGCAGAGGGGCAGACAGTACAGGAGTGACGCCCACGGCCACCCACCCCACCAAACCCCCAAGAAAAAGTCACCAGGGCTATTTAAACCTTTATCCTAGGGCTCCGGAGACATCAACACAAACCTGTGGCTTCCCTCAGTTCTTGGAAGAATTTCTGGTTGAATATAAAAGCCACACCACTAATTTCTTCCACTTTGGCCTCTGCTGTTGTATTTCGGTTGATAAAATTTGCTGTGATGGCGATGGCCAGTTTGCCACGGAATTCTTTCCGACGAAACCCTGGATGGAAAGAAATTTTCAGAGGTGATAATCATTGGCTAGAGAAGCAAGATCACTTCAAATCAAGGCGGGGGTGCTGATAAAGACATCAGGGAAAGTCAAGGATGAGAACTGATGGTAAAGTTAGGGCAGCTCTTCTGCAGATGAAAATAAGGTATCTACCCACCTTAGAATATGAAAATTTGGGAAAGAAGTCAAAGTCTCCATTAACAAACTACTAACAAACAATTTGAAATCTGACTGACCAGAATATTACTCAGTACTAGGGATTCCTCTTAAAAAAGGGGGTGTGTTTGCACGCGCGCACGTGCGTGTGTGTGTGTTGCTCCTACTTATTAATATGTAGATTAAGCCCCACAAATGCCAACCACTTGTCTCCTCGTGCCCCAGCAGGAGTGCCCTGCAAGCAGCAGCCAGGCCAGGTGAGGTGGCTCACGCCTGTGATCTCAACACTTTTGAGAGGCCAAGGCAAGCAGACTGCTTCAGCCAAGTAGCTCGAGACCAGCCTAGGCAACATGGAGAAAGCCCAATCTCCACAAAAAAAATACAAAAATTGGCTGGGTATGGTGGCATGTGCCTGTAGTCCCAGCCACACAGGAGGCTACGACGGGAGGATCGCTGGAGCAGGGAGATCGAGGCTGCAGTGAGCATTATCACGCCGCTGTGCTCCAGCCTGGATGACAGAACGAGACCCTTCTCAAAAATAAAATAAAATAAAAATAAAATCAGCAGCCCAAGTGCTGGCTGGCTAGAGGAAGATGGGGCCTGTCATTCCATCAGGGCGGGAAGCACACATTCACACTCTCAAAAGAGTAGACGCTGGTCACACACAGTCTCACCCCAGGGGTAGAATATCAGCTTTCCCTCTGCTATGAGCCAGGCGGAGGAGAACAGACCAATACCTTCCAAGGTGTTCCTCCGACCATCCCCACCGATGATCACTTCAAATTCATACTCCGACACAGGATGAGTTTTGGGGTGCACCAGTGCCCGCCAGCCTATCCCTGTGGACCAAAACCAAATAAATGGAGGTCACCACCCAGACCACATGCACAGCCAGGACTGTCTCTAGATACCCAGTCACGTGGACTACACAAACCCTGGACCAAAAACACTACATGTAGAAACAGTGGGGACACGGCCGGGCGCGGTGGCTCAAGCCTGTAATCCCAGCACTTTGGGAGGCCGAGGCGGGTGGATCACAAGGTCAAGAGATCGAGACCATCCTGGTCAACACGGTGAAACCCCGTCTCTACTAAAAATACAAAAATTAGCTGGGCATGGTGGCGCGTGCCTGTAATCCCAGCTACTCAGGAGGCTGAGGCAGGAGAATTGCCTGAACCCAGGCGGTGGAGGTTGCGGTGAGCCGAGATCGCGCCATTGCACTCCAGCCTGGGTAACAAGAGTGAGACTCTGTCTCAAAAAAAAAAAAAAGAAAGAAAAAGAAACGGTGGGGACAGAGGCCGGGCGTGGAGGCTCATGCCTGTAATCCCAGCACTTTGGGAGGCAGAGGCTGGCAGATTCCTTGACGCCAGGAGTTACGAGAGACCAGCCTGGCCAGCATGGTGAAACCCTGTCTCTACTAAAAATACAAAAATTAGCCTGGCATGGTGAAACATGCCTGTAATCCCAGCTACGCTGGAGACCAAGGCAGGAGAATTGCTCAGAGGTCACAGTGAGCCGAGTTTGAGCCACTGCACTCCAGGCTGGGCGACAGAGTGAGACTCTCACCTAAAAAAGAACAAGCGGTGGGGACGAACGAACCACAGAAGGAAAGAAGCCTTGTGGAGGGCCCACAAGGCCCTTCCCACCACATGGGTGCCTGCGACCTCTAAGGCTGCAGACCCAGTCCCCAACAGCCCAGCCCGCAAGGGCCTTTGATTGGCTCCCCCAATCTCATCTTCCTCACCCATCAAAACCCTCTCATACCTTCCTCACTCCTCCAGTCTGACTTACGTTCATTCTCCTGGTCCTCAGGAGGCTGGATAAGTCCTTGGAATTCCACATTGACGTGGATTTCAATGCCTAGGATCAAGGCTACTTTCAACAGTATCAGTTGGAGCTGACGGATACCTGGGAGAATACAGAGATGACGGTGGTGGGAACACATGGAGAAGGCGGTGCGCATCTGTGTCACAGCTCAGGCTCCCACCCCGCCACCTATGCACCCTTCATTCAGATTCCCAAAGCCCGCTGTAGCAGGAGACGTTTCCAAAGCCACGCTCCGTTAACTTCTTCCTTTCTTAAAGGCAAATATAACGCAGTGGAAGAGAGGTTCTAGAGCAACACGCAGGCCATTCCCACATCTTGGGTTCAGCGTTCTAAACAATCAAAAGCCTGGAGACAACATGGGATTGTGGCCTACAGGAGACCCCTTTCTATCTTCCCAATTTAGGGCCGCCATATTGGCGGCATCTCCGATCCTTCCGGATTAGGAGGCAGGTGTGCACCTGCAGGGTGCAGCCCACAGTCAGACGCAGAGCTGCTGCATGACCTCCCCACCCGCGGGCATCTCTCTTTCAGCCCATTCCCTGGTTGATCAGCACACATCCTTATAAGGCAAGGAAGGGAAACTGCAATCCAACCAGATCCTCTTACCATTCCCCCACAACTCCTGCTCTACAGCTGTGGACACTGAGGCCAGAATGAATGACAATCTTGCTCACTTTCACAGTGAGACCAAGTGATTTACCTGATGTCCATGAGCACCTGCAGGCACCAGACATGGCAGGGACTAAAGGTGCAGCAATAAAGATCTAGGCCCTGGTAGAAGACCCTTTCAACCCCAAGATGAATCTTGCCACAAACAAGGCAGACAGACCCACTGAGTTAATGACCCTTGGTCCTCTCTTAAGACCAAACTCACCTGGCGCCTGTGACTCGTCTGCCAGGAGCAATGCAAATCTTCCTCAAGCCATCTTGTTCTCCCCAGTTCACCACAGCCACCACCCTTCTGAGTCCCACCCTCAAAGACTTGTTAAACTCTGCGCTAGCACAGAATTTTGCAGACAACTGTGGGTTCCAAGATGATTTACAAACTATAGCCAACAGATAGGCAGCGCACTTCCTCTGCCAGCGGAATGTGGTCACTGCCAGCCAGCCTCTGATAAACTGGCACAGCTGCTGCAAAGAGCAAAAGGTTCCATGACTGAATGTGTTTACAGGACACATCTGGAGAAGCTCAGAACAAAGGCTCCTTGATAAAGCTTTCCTGAAAGCATTCATGATAATCAATAAAAAGCCTTCAGTTTCATAATGCACACTGTTCTGAATTGCTTTTCTGGTGAGCCACTTACAGTTAAACACCACTGATTGCATTAACTTGTATTTATACCCTGTAGGATCTCAGAAAAGCACAGGCCCAGGCTGAGCTTGGAGGTGACAAAAATACAGCAAGAGCATGCAGACTGCACCAGAACCACCTAACCAGAGGAATGCCATTATTTCGCTGCCATTAATGGCCAGGCCAGGGCTCTGCTGCTTCTGCAAGTGTGGCTTCCCCCAGGACTGTGTCCCCACAGCACTTCGTGCTTAGGATGGTAAAGCATGTATCAGGTCACAGCACAGACAGCCGCATGCCTGTGTACTTCTGCCACTGCAAGAGGAACCACCAGAGGGTCCAGGCCCAGTGTCACTGTTTCCCCAGTGCCCATCCCACAAACTGCAAGAGCTCAGGAAGAGTCCAAGACCTAACTTAGAAATCCTCCAGCCAAACTCCACGTCACAGGTTATCGATACACTCACAGTGAAGAGTCCTAAACTACGGGACAGCAGCATAGCAGGTGTTTTTACTTCAAGGTGAGTCCACTTACTACAAGAAAGACGGGAATGAGATTAGAAGAAACTGGGTGGCGTTTGAATTCCTCAGCGAATCCACATGTCTCTTTCCACTGAACAAGTGTGTGAGGGGTAGGATGGAATGCTCCAGGAGAGCTAGTTTTACTTACTGATATGGTCGATGGCTCCGGCACAGAACTTGCCATAGAACTTCTTGGCACCCAGACCTCGAAGATCATGTATGGTGAATGGCCAGAGATGTAAGACGTTGTTGCGGGAGAAGGCGTCTCGTTTCTCAATAACAACCACCTTGGCCCCCAGTAAGGATAAGTCGATGGCTGTGCGGAGACCACAGGGGCCGGCCCCAATGATGAGACACTGAAAAACACAGCTGCTTTCAGGGCAGGTAGCACTTTCAAGAAACAATTCTAGAGAAGCCTCATGATTGTATAATCATCACTCCCTAAAGCCCCCAAAATAGGGCTGTTCTCCCCACTCCCAAGAAACCTTACACCTGCATAGGTCATGGCAGAGTACCTGCCACGGCTTAAGAGAAGAGCTAATGATCACGATGGAGAAGACGGAACCGTCAGTGCTAGAGACAAGCCCGGCATATGGCTGGAAGGCCCTCGATCTGCAGCATATTTAACTGGCATCATCTCAACAAATGGTATGAAAATCACATGCAATCTTACATCAACAGGAGAGGACCTTTTGGAAGGTTTCTAGATCAAGCAAATTTCTGTCCAAAGAGATACAGAGTACTACATACACAAGGCAGGCAATCTCAAGCCTCCCAGAATGAGTCTACCACACATGTGATTTCCAGGAAGCAATTTTCAAGAGCCAAAGTTTTGGAGTGCTGAAAAGCACTCCAAAATCCCCCTGTCTAGACTGAAAGTCCAGGGACATGATCTCAAAAATCCACACTCCAGAGAAGTACTCAGCGGGAGACCGGACACGTATCTTCAACAGTGTGTGTGCGATGCGTTCGGCCTTGTGTTGTTTTGTTCTTAGTAGGGTCCAGCACTCACTCACCAAGTCCTGCCTTCACAGTTCGTGAATTTTGCTGTTGATTACCTACCCAAATGCAAACCCACTGGGGTGTGGCTCTAGGTATTCCCTGTTGCACAAATTAAAGCGCATGGAAGAACATAACACAGCCACGAAGTCCTCTGCAAATCTGTGTTCCTGCTAGCTTGTTCCAAACTTCTCACATTACGTGTTTTTCTAAGGGGGAAGCGGGAAATGTATCTCCACATCAGCTTCCTTGCACCTACTCCAGCAAAGGCAAGTACGTAACTCAGGTCTTTGCCTAGGCCTACCTGCTTCGTGGAAATCCTATTTCTCCAGACGGTAAAGAAAGCAACAGAAATACTTTGGTTCACAAAGTCCTTGCTTATGAATCAAAATAGACCTTTGGAACATGGATGGGAAGAGGTCTGAAGCTTGTGGCAAATCCTAAGTTGGTAAATACCAGCTACTGAGTACGGAATGATGAATTTGGAAAGACAACCTACCAAGAACCCCAAAGCTGTGTGCAGACAGGATACCAGCAGGGCTTGGCTACGCCCCTGCTCAGTGACCTGCATCCTCCGAAACACGTAAGCTCAAAAGAGAGCTTCAGCAAAATAAAAAGTTCCCGTGCCACTTGACTTTGGTCATTCTTAAATACTTCAAACTTTGAATGTTCAATACATAAACACATGAAATACACTTAGAACAGGGTCTGGGCCACAGGAGTCAAACAAAAAGAGGTAAGAGATCCACAAAGTTTCAACAGGGTGGAAGCCGGACTTCCTATGCTAGTTGGGGCTAGACTCCGCCTGGTTCTCACTCAGCCTACCTCTAACTCAATCCTCCTCTTTAGCACCTGGTGAATCCTCACCAGTGACCCAGGGCCCAATAGGAGCGAAGTTTACCTTGGTGTTAGTGCATGCTTTTCCCTTCTTGTAGTCTTTGTGACTGCCCCGTTTGTCCAACTTTGCCCAGAGGGCTTTGGCTTTCCAGTAGTTAAGCTTGGACTTGAGCTTGTGATAGAAGGAGCGATAGTCCTTTGGCTTCAGTTCCAGATGGTCACAGAGCTCCTGGAAGGCCTTAAGGGTTCCCTTACAGGTGGTGGCCTGGACAAACCGGTCGAAGAGGACATGAGCTGGGTTCATGGTCTCATGCTTCCTCTCCTCCATGCTGCCCCACTCTCAGCTCTCCCCACAGCGGGCGGTGGGATGGCTGTGGGTCCACCTGACACTGTCACGTTAATCTGACAAAAAGAAAGAAAAAAGATGATCAGCATTTCTTTGTCTACAAACATTCTCCAGGAGACATACTCCTCTTCCAAGCGGAGTTCCCAAGTGTCACAGTCATCCATCCACAAGTGTGGACTGCACACCTGCGATCCTCCAGGCACCACGAGACGCTGGGGCTGGAAAGGTGAGTAGGATGGTTCTCGCTCTCGGGGATCTGACAGTCTAGGATGCAAGGCAGCCACAGACACAGAATGTCCTGATGGACCATACCAAGTGCCACTGCAGAGGGAGACACGGGGGATTTGGGAAACAGAGAGGGAGACACAGGGGATTTGGGAAACCGAGAAAGAGGATCTAAGTCAGTACTGGCGGTGCATGGAGGTCCCCACTGAAGACGAGCCTCTGAATGGTGGCAGCTGAGTCTCTCCGCAAAAATGTTAGCCAGGCAGAGAAGAGGCGTAGGACATGGGAAAGTGACACAGGCAGGCCTGAGTGACTCATATGGATCAAAGAGGCAAGGATGACTCCCAGGTTTCCCGCTTAGGCCCCGGATTAAACGGAGACATCAGGCCAACGGATTAAAAACAGAAGCACTCCCTGGTGCCGGCGGAGCAGCAAGCCCCCTTCCCCACCTGTGTGTGTGAGCTCCGAGTGGATGTGCTCAGCAGGCAGTCGGGCATGAATGTGAAGTTCAGGGAGACGCAGACTGGGGAGTCACCGGCACATGGGCAGTAGCTAAGCCTACAAAAGCAGGAAGATCAGAGAGATCCAAGATGGCTGATCACCAGCAGCTCAGGATTGTAGCTCCCAGTGAAAGCGCAGAGAACGAGAGGACGCCACACCTTCACATGAATTCTTGTTGCTCACGTACCAGGAGATTCCCAGCAGAGGAGCCCCACGGGTCGCCAGCGCGACTCTTGTGGCCGGCGAGGTGGTTTTGCTGGCGCCTCAGAGCGGTGGTTCTTGGTGCAGAGTCAGAAAAGCACCATCAATCTTAACACCGCTGTTATAGCTGGCGCAGTGGGTTGCTCAGATTCCGGTGCTGCGAATCAACAAGTTGGACATCCACTCAGAAACCCAATTACAAAGATGGTAATTATAAAGACCACAGATGGATAAATCTAAAACGAAGGGAAGAAACCAGCCTAAAAAGGCTGAGAATGCCCAAAATCGGAACGCCTCTCCCTCTTCAGGAGATCACAGCTCCTGATCAGCAACGGATCAAGGCCTGATGGAGAAAGGGCGTGTTCCATTAACAGAAGAAGGCTTTAAAAGGTGGATGATAAGAAACTCCTGGGAATTAAAAGAACTTGTTCTAACCCAATGCAAAGAAACTAAAAACTTTGAAAAAAGGTTTGACAAAATGTTAACAAGAACACACAATTTAGAGAGGAATATAAGTGAATTGATGGAGCTGAAAAACACAACACGAGAACTTTGCGAAGTATGTACAAGTTTTAACAGCCGAATTGATCAAGCAGAAGAAAGGATATCAGAGGTTGAAAACCAACTTAATGAAATAAAACGAGAAGACAGAATTAGAGAAAAAAGGATAAAAAGGAATGAGCAAAGTCTCCAAGAAATATGGGACTATGTGAAAAGACCTAATCCACGCTTGATAGGTGTACCTGAATGTGACGAAGAGAATGAATCCAAGCTGGAAAATACGCTTCAGGATATTATTCAGGAAAATTTTCCCAACCTAGCAAGGCAGAACAATATTCAACTCCAGGTAATACAGAGAACACCACAAAGATATTCCTCAAGAAGACCAACCTCAAGGCACATAATCGTCAGATTCACTAGGGTTGAAATGAAGGAGAAAATACTAAGGGCAGCCAGAGAGAAAGGTCAGGTTACCCATAAAGGGAAGCCTATCAGACTCACAGCAGACCTCTCAGCAGAAACCCTGCAAACCGGAAGAGAGTGGGGCCAATATTCAATATCCTTAAAGAAAAGAACTTTCAACCCAGAATTTCACATCCAGCCAAACTAAGCTTCATAAGCAAAGGAAAAATAAAATCTTTTGTGAACAAGCAAGCACTCAGAGCCTTCATCACCACCAGGCCTGCTTTACAAGAGCTTCTGAAAGAATGACTACACATAGAAAGGAACAAACAGTATCAGCCTTTCTAAAAAATACCAAAAAGTAAAGAGCATCAACATAATGAAGAATTTACATCAACTAATGGGCAAAACAGCCAGCTAACATTAAATGGCAGTATTAAACTCACATATATTATTATTAATTCTAAATTTAAATCAACTAAATCCCCCAATCCAAAGACACAGACAGGTAAATTGGATAAAAAGCCAAAACCCATCGGTATGCTGCATCTAGACCCATCTCACATGCAAGGATACACAAAGACTCAAAACAAAGGGATGGAGAAAGATTTACCCACCAAATGGAGAGCAAAAATAACTAAATAAACAAAAAGCAGAAGTTGTGATTTTTGCCTCTGATAAAACAGTCTTTAAGGCAACAAAGATCAAAAGAAGCAAAGAAGGACATTATATAATGATAAAAGGATCAATGCAACAAGAAGAGCTAAAGATCCTAAATATATACGCACCGAATACACGAATGCCAGATATATAAGATTTATAAGGAGACCTAGACTCCCACACAATAATAGTGGGAGACTTCAACATTAATATTAGACAGAAAATTAACAACGATATCCAGGACTTGAACTCAGATCTGGAACAAGTAAACTTAATCAACATTTATAGAACTCTCCACTTTAAATACACAAAATATACATACACACTTTTATCAGCACCACATCACACCTACTTACAGATTTAAATGAAATATTGGTTGGCTGCTTGTTTTTTTCTTCCCTCATTTTTTTCATGTCTCCATTATTAAGCACAATTACAGGCATACCCATTTTTAGGCTGCATTCTAGCCCGGGCAATAAAGCGACACCCCCGTTCTCTCTCCCTCTTCCTCTTTCTCTTTCTTCCTCTTCTTTATTCTTTTTTTTTTTTTAGTTCTTTTTCTTTCTCTCTTTCAAAAAAAAAAAAAAAAAAAAAAAAAAAAGGGCAGGAAGATCACCCAAGCGGGGTGCATGGGGAGAGGCGCCGCAGGCTCTGGAGGTCCAGGAGGCCCTGCCTACAACAGGCTGGCAGAGAAAGGCGAGCCCTCTCAAAAGCTCGGGAACAGTAGGGAGAGGTCTGAAGAGAACCAACCAGCAGTGTCACAGAAGTCTAAGGAGCAGACAGTTTGGGACTGTCAAAGTCAGCAGGGATGAAAAGAACTGAAGTCCTGCCATCGCGTAAGGTACAGGGTGGGGAGACTTCGTAGTCTTTCCGTTTTCACCCAGAATCAAACTGCACAGCAATAATGACGCTATCTACGCTTTCCACCTATGGAAATGTCCATACGCGTGCCTCCAGTGAGTCCGCTAGACAGAGGCTGGGAGGTGGGGGGCGGCGTCGCGTGCACCGCTGCATCCACGGGCTCCTGTGAGTCTGCGGAACCGTTTTTACACCCCATCTGCTGATCCTTACCACTGGAACTGTATCAGGTGGTGGGAGGCAACAGTACAAAGGACAAAACTAGAGAGCACAGAGTGGGTCAGGGTGACGAGAAGAGTGTGGCCACAGGGCTGAGCCCACACGGCCAGACCCCCGCTGCACGACCCTGGGTAGGCCTGCCCCACAAACCCTCGGTTTCCCTGTGTGTGAGACAGGAAGGCAGAGGTTGCAGTCAGCTGAGATCATGTCACTGCATTCCAGCCTGGGCGACAGAGTGAGACCCTGTCTCAAAACCAACCAAACAAAAAAAAACACTACACTGTTAACATACATAGCTTCTCCCAGTAACCACATGGCTAAGAGTCCAGCAAGAAATGAGTTAACAGGAATTAAACATTCAGTTTCCCAGAAAAATAAAGGTTTTATTCCAGGTAGCAACAAGAGAAACACTTTACAGATCCTAAAAAGAACTTACTGTTTTTCTTACAAGCCAAAGCTTATCTTAGAAATGTTAGAAAGTCAAAAGATGGCTTGCAGGGGGCCAGGCGCAGTGGCTCACAACTGTAATCCTAGCACTTTGGGAGGCCGAGGCGGGTGGATCACGAGGCAAGGAGATGGAGACCATCCTGACCAACATGGTAAAACCCGTCTCTACTAAAAATACAAAAAATTAGCTGGGTGTGGTGGCATGTGCCTGTAGTCCCAGCTACTCAGGAGGCTGAGGGAGAAAAATCACTTGAATCCGGGAGGCGGAGGCTGCAGTGAGCCTAGACGGTGCCACTGCACTCCAGCCTGGGCAACAGAGGGAGATTTCATTCAGAGAAAAAAAAAAAAAAAAAAAGGTGGCTAGTAGGGCAGGAAAGAGCAGGGGAGTTTCTCCTGCCTTTGTGCTTATACAAAGTCAGGAGAAACGGTGACAGCTGACAACTCATGACTAGAAACCAAGGTCCCAGAGCATTTTCTGCATCAGGCCCCTCTGCCCCCTGCTGTCTCTGGGGACTTCTGAGGCCTCACTTGCTCTTTGACAAGCACGCAGCACTGTGCAAGCCCGACTCTGCATGCCCCGCCAGCATTCACAGTGAGCCTCCACGCCACCAACCCCGACCCTGCATTCACAGTGAACCTCCACGCCACCAACCCCGACCCTGCATGCCCTGCCTGCATTCACAGTGAACCTCAACGCCACCAGTCACAGTGTTTGCTGAGCTTTGCACACACTGGGTCTGACCACCTCTACTTCACGTCAAAGAAGAAAACGACTTTTCTTTGTTCCTAAACAGCAGCCACTTTCAACTCCTCGCCAGGATTCAGAGCGGTCAGAACCATGATGTTCTCGCTGAAGCCAATCCCTTAAAGGCCCTGCAACACACGATTCTAAAATCCTTCCTGTCATAATGCTGGCCTTGGTTCACACCCTCCTGAAAGAGTTTTGGGCACTTATTTCCCAAGAAGAATTTTTCCATGTGAGCTAATATCCCCTTGATTGGTTGTAACCCACTTAGTTGGAAATAATTCACTTCCAAAGAGC